CCACGTCCAGAAGCTTCTCTATCACCAGGTTCCTTCCGAACAAGAGGGCAAGAGAACACTGAGAGCACCTACATTCTTCGTCTCCCAGGAAGATCACTCGTTCAAGACAGAGTTCTTCCCCACCGACAGCGAAGCAGAGCGACGTCTTTCCTTCTTCGCGCAATCGCTGTCGACTCCCATTCCGGAGCCTGTGCCAGTCGACAACATGCCGACCTTCACTGTTCTTATTCCCCACTACAGCGAAAAGATCCTCCTTTCTCTCCGTGAGATTATTCGTGAGGATGAGCCCTACTCTCGCGTGACATTGCTTGAGTATCTCAAACAGCTTCATCCGCACGAGTGGGACTGCTTCGTCAAGGACACGAAGATTTTGGCGGATGAAACATCTCAATTTAATGGCGACGGTAACAGCAATGAGAAAAACGAAAAGGACACCGCTAAGAGCAAGATCGACGACTTGCCCTTCTACTGCATTGGTTTCAAATCTTCCGCGCCCGAGTACACTCTCAGAACCCGTATATGGGCATCTCTTCGCTTCCAGACCTTGTACCGCACGATCTCTGGGTTTATGAACTATAGCAGAGCCATCAAACTTTTGTATCGCGTAGAAAACCCGGAGGTCGTCCAGATGTTCGGTGGCAACTCCGACAAGTTGGAGCGTGAGCTTGAGCGCATGGCCCGTCGCAAGTTCAAGATTTGCGTGTCTATGCAGCGCTATGCCAAGTTCAAGAAGGAGGAGATGGAAAACGCCGAGTTCTTGCTTCGCGCCTACCCCGATCTCCAGATCGCCTATCTCGACGAAGAACCCCCTCTGGCAGAGGGAGAGGAGCCTCGTTTATACTCTGCTCTCATCGACGGTCACTCTGAGATCATGGAAAACGGCATGCGCAAGCCCAAGTTCCGCATCCAGCTTTCTGGCAACCCCATTTTGGGAGACGGTAAATCCGACAACCAGAACCATTCACTCATCTTCTACCGCGGTGAATACATTCAGCTCATCGACGCCAACCAGGATAACTATCTCGAGGAATGCCTCAAGATCCGATCGGTGCTTGCAGAGTTCGAGGAGATGAAGACTGAAAATGTCAGCCCCTACACTCCTGGCGTCAAGAGCAAGATGACAAACCCCGTCGCTATTTTGGGTGCCCGCGAGTATATTTTCTCGGAGAACATTGGTATTCTTGGTGACGTCGCCGCTGGAAAGGAGCAGACGTTCGGTACCCTCTTCGCCCGTACTCTTTCCCAAATTGGAGGCAAACTTCACTATGGTCACCCGGATTTCCTCAACGGTATTTTCATGACCACCCGTGGTGGTGTTTCAAAAGCCCAGAAGGGTCTGCATCTCAACGAGGATATTTACGCCGGAATGAACGCCCTTTTGCGAGGTGGCAGAATTAAGCACTGCGAATACTACCAGTGTGGCAAGGGTCGTGACTTGGGTTTCGGCTCAATTCTTAACTTCACCACCAAGATTGGAACTGGTATGGGTGAGCAGATGCTCTCTCGCGAGTACTACTACCTCGGAACCCAACTGCCTTTGGACCGCTTCCTCTCTTTCTATTATGCGCATCCCGGTTTCCATCTCAACAATATGTTCATCATGTTGTCCGTTCAGATGTTCATGATCTGCCTGCTCAGCTTGGGCGCCCTCCGAAAAGAAACCAAGGCATGCGACTACAACCGCGACGTTCCCATTACTGATCCTCTGTACCCGACTGGTTGCCAGAACACGGATGCTCTCATGGACTGGGTGTACCGATGCATTCTGTCAATCATCTTCGTGTTGCTGTTGGCTTTCGTGCCACTGGTAGTTCAAGAGTTGACGGAAAAAGGTTTCTGGCGCGCCGCCAAACGTCTTGGCAAGCAGTTCTCTTCGCTCTCGCCGTTCTTCGAGGTCTTCGTTTGCCAAATTTACGCAAATTCGGTACAGCAGGATCTCTCGTTTGGCGGTGCCCGGTACATTGGTACTGGTCGTGGCTTTGCAACTGCTCGCATCCCCTTCGGTGTACTGTACTCCCGTTTCGCCGGCCCTTCGATTTACTTTGGATCTCGACTCCTGATGATGCTTCTCTTCGCTACCGTTACCATCTGGCAAGCCGCTCTTGTCTACTTCTGGATCTCTCTCCTTGCCCTGGTTATTTCGCCATTCCTGTACAACCCGCATCAGTTTGCTTGGAGCGATTTCTTCATCGACTACCGCGACTTCCTGAGGTGGCTGTCACGTGGTAACTCTCGCTCTCACGCATCTTCCTGGATCGCCTTTTGCCGTTTGTCTCGAACCCGTATCACAGGTTACAAGCGCAAGGCTCTCGGTGACCCATCTGCAAAGATGTCTTCCGATGTCCCACGTGCGGCCATCACTAACATGTTCTGGGGCGAGATCCTTACCCCTCTGCTTCTCGTGGCGGTTACTGTTATCCCGTACCTGTATATCAACGCCCAGACCGGTGTCTCTGCGACTAATAACCCCAATGCCTCATCTTCAGAGATCAAGCGCACCAACTCGTTGATCAGAGTCGGACTCGTCGCACTGGCCCCCATCGCAGTTAACGCTGGCGCGTTGATGATGTTCTTCTTCATGGCCTGCTTCATGGGTCCTCTCTTGAGCATGTGCTGCAAGAAGTTTGGTAGCGTCCTTGCAGCGATTGCCCACGGCATAGCAGTGGTTATGCTACTCGTGTTCTTCGAGGTCATGTTCCTGCTTGAGTCTTTCGATTTCGCCCGGACTTTGCTCGGCATGATCGCCGTGGTTGCTATCCAGCGTTTTGTCTTCAAGCTGATTATCTCGCTCACTTTGACGCGTGAGATCAAGACGGACGCGGCGAACATTGCATTCTGGACGGGCAAGTGGTACTCTATGGGATGGCACTCGGTCTCCCAACCCGCTCGTGAATTCCTCTGCAAGATCACGGAGTTGAGCATGTTCGCGGCCGACTTTGTCTTGGGTCACTTCCTTCTCTTCATCATGCTTCCGGTCATTCTTGTGCCCAAGATTGACATGCTGCACTCGATGATGCTCTTCTGGCTTCGTCCTGGGTATGTACTACTGTTACCTGCCGGATCTTTCTTGTATAATGGCTAACAAACTGTTCCCAGTCGTCAAATCCGCCCGCCCATCTACTCTATGAAACAGTCCAAGTTGAGACGCAAGCGTGTCTTCCGCTATGCCATTCTGTACTTCACCATGTTCATTCTCTTCATGGCCCTGATGATTGGCCCTGCCGTTGCTGGTGATATGATCCCCATGAGCATCTTCAAGTCTCTGGACTCGACGGATCTGGCCCTGATCCAACCTACCAGCCTCAACAACGACAACACACATGGCAAGACTGAAACTGGTACCGGAGCCCCAGACTACTCGGGAGCCTACCTCACTATGACTTCATCGTCGGCGAAGGCATCCAAGACGAGCAACTCGGAAAGAGTGCGCCTTTTCTAATTGTACAAGTTGTATCATAGACGCATTTGGGGGCGGTAGAGGAAGTCGTCGTTCCACAAGCGGTCTAGGGATGTCTTCGAGGAAGGATGAACCCCCCAGACGTTGGCGACAGGTTTTTAATGTCCATCATCAGGCGTGTATTGTGTCTTTCGACTGCTACCTATTCATTTCTCTTTTTTACGGGCAGGAAAACATGGCTGGAATGGATTCCACGGCTGTGAAGGCCTGTAGATTACATATATCACCAAAGGCCCAGAGTGAGACTACTTGAGATGGGTGTATAATCAAGTCCCATTTTGTTCACAGAAGTCCAACCTAGCAAGATGCAAGCACACATGCTTGGATGTGAAATGAACGCAAGCTGATGTGGCCACTGCAATAGAGTACCAACAGCGGGGGATGTGTATAGTCACGTCGGCTAAGCCAGGATGCCGGGTTCAAGGCGCTGCTGCTCTATAGGGTTTTCAAGTAGATGAGAATACAACTATCTACTGAGGTGTGAGTGAGACTGGTCAAGCATTGAGAAAGGATGGCATCTACACTTGGGAAACTTGGGTGTGGTAAGGTATCCGTAGTTACAATACCGGCGGCTCAAAAGTCTAGTTACACTATTAAAGGTCACCCCACCACAAAAACCCCCAAGATCCTATTATTTTAATCAAGCACAGCATTTTCAAACATCTTCTAATCAGGTAGTTCTTATATCAAATCAATTATTTAAAATGACGTTTTAATATTTAAGGAATTATTCCTAGACCCGGCAGCGCGGTGTAAAGAAAGGGGTGGATAAAAGAGGGGGGGCTCAATAGTGTAACCAGACTTTTGAGCCGGTATTGTACCTTATGTAAGCAGGCACAAGGCACCTCAGCAGGCGACGCCCCATCCTTAGTAAGGTACCTTGCGGGGCAGACGTGCATGGGAGTGGCAGCGAACATCAGATGGCGCTAATTAGATGACGGTATCACTGTATCCGTACGAGCACCTATGCCTATTTACCTTAGTCAGCCAAGGCGCTCAGGGGCAGGGAGCTTTGCGAGCCAATCAGAACCTGTTCGAATGCAGAGAACAAGGATTGACCGCCAGGGGCCGCGCTCGGGGAAAAAACAACGTCGGAGGTGCTGTCACTTTGGCGCAATTTCACACCTGAGCGCACTTGGCTCCCTACTTCCCTTGGGTTCCCTCACAAAGCACCTTGATAATTCGTTGCTAGGTACCGAAATTTGTCCAGGCTGATGCGAGTGTCTACCGTCTTCTGTTGCTCGAAAAGAAAAGGCGACACGTCCTTCTTGACCGCTTAGTCCCGGACCCTGCACTCCTGTGTTCTGTGCCTTGAGATAGCGCGACGCTCCGATCGCACCCGGATTGGCCAACGGTCCAACGCACCATCCCGTCATCCTCGTTTCCTTCCCACCATCAGGTCCGGACTCTTCGGCCGCGACTCTTCACCCACTGTGCAACACATCAAATTGTCGACTCACCTGCCGTACCCTTCCGCCTCTCCCAGTCATTCTGGTGCAATCGCTGTTCATTGCCCTGTCTCTACCTTCCCGTCAAAGCCATCATGGACGCAGGCGAGGCCCAAATGAAGCTGATCGCCTGGCTCCACGAGGCCTCCGAGGCCTTTCAAAAAGTCCCTGGATCAGCGGTTCTGATTCGATACATCCAGTCGAGCTACCAGAACGACCCCATTCGTTCTGGTATCGAGCTGGTTCTCTTCATATTCTTCGTCCGCTACCTTCTGTCGCCCTCCTATTCCACCCAGAAGCAGAACTTCATCAAACTCCGCGACGATGTACGTTGCGCCCGAAACTCCTTCGCTCTTCACTCTCAACCTTGAACCCCTGAGGTTTCGCTGATGCTGCTTGCTAGGAAATCGACGAGTTAGTGGAAGACTGGACCCCAGAGCCGCTTGTTGCTCCCCAAACAGCTCTCGAGGAGATCGAGGCCGAAAGGCTGCCTGTGATTGTTGGGTACGACCAATCCCCCTTTCCGGTGAGCGATCCTTCACTTCGAGGCCACTTGACTAATAATGCCCAGCCCGACCGGCCCCAAGACCAAGCTCGCAAACGGACGCACCGTCACGAACCTCGCTTCATACAACTTTTACAACTTCAATGCCAACGAACAGATCAAGGACAAGGCCATCCAGACGCTGCGCACTTACGGCGTGGGCCCATGCGGCCCTCCCCAATTCTACGGCACTCAGGACGTGCACATGAAGACTGAGGCAGATATCGCCGTCTATCTTGGTACCGAAGCCTGCATTGTCTACGCCCAAGCCTTCTCCACCATCTCGAGCGTCATTCCCGCCTTTTGCAAGCGCGGTGACATCATTGTTGCTGACCGCGCCGTCAACTACTCTATTCGCAAGGGTATGGAGGCGTCCCGAAGCACCATCAAGTGGTACAATCACGGTGATATGGACGACCTCGAACGCGTCATCCGGAAAGTGGTCAAAGATCAAAAGGGCAAAAAATTGACAAGAAGATTCATCGTCTCAGAAGGCTTATTCGAGATCACGGGAGACAGCGCAGACCTGCCTAGACTTGTGAGTAGTTGGTCCCGACGCTACTTGTGCCACAATATAGGCGAGGTGTGTTGGCTGACAAGGCGTGCAGGTTGAATTGAAAGAAAAGTACAGATTCCGTATTATCCTAGATGAGACTTGGTCTTTTGGCGTCCTCGGCCGAACCGGCCGGGGCCTTACTGAAGCGCAGAACGTCGACCCTTCTCAGGTAGACATGATCGCTGGCTCCCTTGCCGGCCCTCTTTGTGCCGGCGGCGGCTTCTGCGCCGGCGCCAAGGATGTAGTTGAGCACCAGCGTCTCACGGCAGCTTCTTACACCTTCTCGGCTGCCCTGCCTGCCATGCTTGCGGTCACGGCCAGCGAGACCCTCAGTGTTCTGCAATCCAACCCGGACATCCTTACCCAGTGCCGTGAGAATACCAAGGCCATGAGGGCACAGCTGGATCCTCGCAGTGACTGGGTCGTCTGCACCAGTTCCCCCGAGAATCCCATCATGTTACTAGTACTCAAGGCCGAGGTCGTCGCAGCGCGCAAGCTTACACGAGAGGACCAAGAAAGGCTGCTACAAGACTGCGTCGATGAGGTAAGTGGATGAACAAATGTAGAGCTTGTGGAAGAAGACAGCGCTAACCGTGGTTTGCCCATGTCAAGGCTCTCGCCAACGGAGTTCTCATTACGCGCCTCAAGAGCATGCCTATTGCCAACGACCTAAACCCCAAAGACGACAGCTGGCAGATCCAGCCGGCGCTCAAGGTGTGCATCACCACCGGCTTGCCAAGGAAGGATATCGAGAAGGCAGGTGTCACAATCCGACATGCCATCACCAAGATTATGACCAGGAAGTCGAGCTCCAAGTCGGCATAGCGTAACTACTACCATGCATTAGAATGGATGATTTGTGCGAGTATTATTTCTCGTAGGTGCAGTTGCACTTGTGTCGAATATAGGACGCCGGGATCGAGTTCGGGCCGGCTCAGGACTCGGCTACCTTACAGAGTTCGCGGACTCTCTTGTAATGATGAACAAATAGATACTAATTAACCATAGAAGATGAAACGGCAGTCAATATCTACATCTGGGATGTCTCCTGTGGCACATGAATTCGAATCAATTAGGGTGCGGAGCGGTGCGCGCGCGCGCGCGAGAGAGAGAGAGAGACAGAGAGTTCTGGACGCTATGAAAAGATTGGCTGAAGGGAATGGAAGTGAGGACAGCAAACACAAAGGCCGTATCCCCACCCACTCTCCGGTGTCAAGTCGGCTCCGGATCCTACATCGGTGGACGGTCAGATGGCCTCAGCAACCCGTCTTGACGCCGCCCTCCACCTTTGTCGACGCAGTTCGTAAGTCTAGACCCGTCGGAGAATGTCCTTTCCCTTGCCTTCTACATCCGGCCGAATTGGAGAAATTGAAGTTTTCGCGGCTTCCGATCCTGTTAGTGTTCTAGACCACTGATACCTCTCTCAGACATGCTCTACTGCCCGTTTTCTACCTCCTTCCAATGGCTTAGTTGGTTTTTTTGGTCAAGCCCCCGCATGTTGGCCCGTGAAGTGACGAGTGTTGCGCAAGGGTCGTGTACGGCAGGTATAAATCGGGAGATCTGTCGCGCTACCAAGATGCTTGGATCAGGGACCCGTGTGAAGTTGGCGTTCAAAGACCACCTCTTGATGGCCGGGCGCCGCAATTGATTACATGTCCCTGATGAGGGTTCAGGTGAGATGCGTCCCCATTGGGCTGTGTGATCGCTTTCCTCAAAGGCTAAGGTAGTCAAAGAAGAAGGCGGGAAAGCTGTAAGCTGTCTGTTTGATCTAGATCCGAGTCGTAATGTATCGTGGTCATACCTTGAGTTCTATAAGATGTCTCAACCTCAGTGTCTGCCATCTTTCGGCTCTCGGAATCTTGACATATTTGTTGAATCGTCTACGACGGCCGTCTGGATTGCCTCCCACCACTTTCTTTTTATCTCTCAAGTGGAAACAACATTCCTTTCGTCGCAGCATCCAAACCGGGCAGCCAAAGTGCAACGCTGCCTACCACTCTACCTAGTGTGAGTTGCGAGTTTACATCTCTTCTTCTTAATCGTGGGGGCCTAATAAGTCGGAGCGACTGAAGTTATTTTGGTCGAACTCGACGGCATTGAGAACCAGACACTTGAAATTCCCAACGGCTCTACATTTGATGATCGTTATCTCCAGATACTGAGAACAAAGTGTGGCTGACACTCTACGGACCAAGAACACCCGTGGCTAAGGAACCTATTTCCAGAAGTGAGTTGAGAAACCTGCGTCGAATTCCTGTGGTATTCCAATTCCCGAGAGGGGTTCCCCGGCATTTCAGGTCCCTGCTGGCTCTTTCCCAGGTGCAATTTGTTGCTGTTTACAAGCGGAAACCAACATTCCTGCCCCCGGCTAAGCTGCCTCTCCCTCCGTTCGTCACTCCCTTCCCGGCGCATGCCTACCCACGTACCTCATATTACCCCGTTCCTGTCGTTCTTGGCTATTTATGCTGGGAGGAAAGCAAGCCCCACCCGGATATCTTGATCAACTGATTGGGCTATGAGAAGACGGCCAAGCACCATGGACAATCCCCCCGAGGGGGTGGGGGAGTACCTTATACTACTTGATTAAACCATGCCCGCCATCTCTACCTCCTCTCGAGATTCCTGTCCCTTCAACTTCTTTTCTTCATTCACTCTTCCTTTACTATTGCTCGTCGCCGTTGGCTTCGTATAGCGCAAAGCTGTATCGACAGCGATCCGTTCCTTTCCTGCTGATGTTGTTGCTCTCGTTCTAGTCACTCGTTCTCCCACCTACCATTCTTCTCTCTCGTTCAATCTGATTCCAAACTGTTGAAGTCACGAGTCTGTCGCTACAGAACCCAACTTTGAACAATCCTATTACACCGAAATACAAACGTCGGCCGAAGCCTCCAATACGGGCGACTACATCCCTTTGTTTAGTATCTTCACTTTTCCTGTCTCGGGCCCAGAACTATCGACCACGCGCTATCAAACTCGCAAAACAAAAATGAAGTCAGCCGGTCTCTCGTCAACGCTGGCACTCGCTGTCTTGCTTGGGCTCTCGGCTGCTCATCCCAAGGGTGAGCCAGGCTTGTTCCTTTCTGCGTTCTATAACTGCCGATTTTCTAGAGACCTTTCTGACATTGTTACATAGGCACTAGAGGTGCCAGGGGAGCAATTATTCGGCCTCAGAAGATCCTTTTCACTGAGCCTTCGCTCAACGAGGCCACCGAGGCCCCCCAATTCGTTGTTTATGTCGACGAAGAGGGCACTCCGGTAGAAACAACTGTCGAGACGGTCCGCTTCGTGCCGGGGCCACAAACACTCAAGCACCCCTCGCCTATCGAACTTGAAACCCGCTCCGAAGAATTAGCCACCCGTGTTACGTCGCGAGACCTCACCAACGGCATCGTGGGCTCGTCTTCTTCTTTGATTGCCTCGACCACTTCTGCTACCGCTTCGTCAACACTGTCCTCTACGCCAACACCATCTTCCTCCCTTGCTTCGAACTCGACTCTCTACGGCATTGCTTATGCACCTTACACAGCAGCAGGACTGTGTAAATCGGCTGCTCAGATCGACGCCGACTTCACGGAGCTCAAAGGCAAGTACTTGGTAGTTCGCACATACGGTACCGACTGCAATCAGATCGCGAACGCCCTTCCCGCGGCCAAAAAGGCTGGTCTCAAACTCTTCTTGGGCATCTTTGACATCAGCTCAATCTCTGCTCAGGTCGCATCCATTATCGTAGCTGTCGGCAACGACTGGTCTCTGATCGATACTGTCAGTGTCGGTAACGAGTTGGTCAACAATGGCAAGGCCACGGCGCAGCAAATTGTAACAGCCGTCGGTCAGACACGCCAGCTTCTCCGCGCTGCCGGGTACACCGGTCCTGTCGTCACCGTTGATACTTTCGTGGCGGTTCTTGCCAACCCCTCTCTTTGCGATGCTTCTGACTACTGCGCGATGAACATTCACCCTTTTTTCGACAGCAATACGGCTGCGAAGGACGCCGGGTCGTTCATCACTAGCACGGTTGCTCAGGTCCAGGCGAAGCTCTCTGACCGCAGCAAGCGCATTGTTTGCACGGAGACTGGGTGGCCATGGAAGGGAAACGCCAACGGTGTTGCCGTCCCAGGTCTCAGTGAGCAGAAGCTGGCTGTCGACTCGATCAAGAAGGCATACGAAAGCCATCCAGGTGACGTCATTCTCTTCTCAGCCTTCAACGACCTCTGGAAGAGCGCCGAGGCAGCGACCTTCAATGCGGAGCAATACTGGGGCATTGGAGCTTTGTACTCGGCGTCTGGAAAATAGCAGAAGAAATACGAGAAAGGCCAGTGAGACGGTCGTTTGTTCTTGCCAGGCTGCGGGCAAGCCAAGGACGAGGCGGATACATTTGATGTTTGGGCTGAGATGACGAGTATTGAACCATTCATGTACCATACGCTACATACCAATTTCTTGGAATCGGTCCCTGCCTCCAAGCCCAAATAACCTTTTCAAGATAAAATGAGTACTTATTCCTGATAGGCCCTTACAACTTCTTGGCGGTGCCTATAAATATGATGAATGGGCTTCTTGGAATGCTGTCAAATTTGGGTTGAATAGTGGAAGGATGATGATTGGACTCTTTGCAAACAGAGCTCCTGGGCTGGGAGGCTTAGGAACAAGGACTTTGTTGTTAGCAAAGCTGTGGAAGAATGGCATGGATAGTCTAGCTCACATAAGGCAACGGAGAACAAACGGCTTGACCTTGTGCCAGTCGATGATAGAGCGCATCGTGTCGAGAATAGGGCGAATACGGTGTTCATTGCCAAAGCCAGATTTGTTAGGCGTTGGCGTCCGACTGACTGTCGGTCGAGGCTAGGCTAGCGCGGGCACTCTTGTAGGGTCTGCGACTTGCGCTATTTGGCTTGACTGCTGGCCTGAGACAAGAGAACGGAGGAGCTTGTTGGTATTCCAGCGTGCAAATGCTATCGAGTGACGAAGCCCGCTTCCGGGAGAGTTGAGTGGATGGATTGGTGCTGACGAGGGCCACTTGGCAGTTGTCAACATAGTTCGGATGGCAGTGATCCAAAGCATCAGCATAGCCAACGGACCTTTATTTTACATTTGCACCTAACAGTGGGGTTAGACGAACGTATATGCAGTCCACAGAAGTCACACTTCTGCAAGCGGACCTCGGAGCCTAGACAGCTAGCTGTCTGTGCTTGGTCCGGTACCAGTGGGCCGCGGCCGAGAATCTGCACATCCGGCCGCCCGGCCCCACAGAGGCTGAAATCACCGGAAGCGTTCCTAATAAGGCTAGTTCGATCTGTCGGTAGGTTCGGCTCCAAATTGTGTCTTCCGTAGAATTCTATCCATTGCAGAAGAGCTTCAAGAAAGGCACATGTGATTTAGGTGAGAGTAAGTCAGGAGATGCGGGAGAGAGGCTGAATGAGAATTGATTGCGTAATTGACCCAGACAAGTACAGAGTGATACTGAGAGCCTACGCGTGTAGAACGAGAAATGGGGTAGTCAAAGAGCATCCATGGGCAGAGGTTAGCCGAGACGGCCAGAAACACGCTATGGTGGAACTGTCGAGTGATGTTTCTCGAATGATCTTTTAAGAAAGACTGTGGCAGTGGCCGTATATTTGGAACGGCGAGCGGACTCGAGCGGCCCCCGATCACCCATTCGGAATGCTCCAATGGTGCCTTGGGTGAGATAAGGCAACTGCGGCAAGGTACCTAGGTAGGTACCTACCTTACACTGGTACTCAAGGGCCCACGCGCGGCGCTTTTAGGTCCAAGGTACTAGGGAATTACAGAGCGGATGGGTTATCGTCGCAAATCCTTGCGCAGAGCCCCTCCAAAATGCCGACTTCCACTTACACGAGTGCGCCAATACCTGTCCGTCAGCCATTGAATACTAAGTGTGCGCACCGTGTAGAACAATACTCTTGTGACACCCAGAGTATCTCGAGCTTGACTGAGAAACCTCAGATGAGTAGGGACGCCACTTGTTGGCCTAAAAGTGGGAGGGGCTGCTCCCTACCTTACCTTATTAATGCCTACCTCAAGGCATGCACCTACCTACCTTGATGTACCTCACACGGCCGGATCAACAAGATGCGGTGAGCTTCGGCGAACCACGCTGCAGCATCCCTTTCCCCATCAGTTGTTTTTCCTTCTTCCAACCACCCCTCCGAAGCGCTTCTCCCGCTTCTCCCCTTATTTCATCTCGGGTACCGCCCTCTCTCTCTCTCCCTCTCTCTCTCTCTCTCAAAAGAACTCAAATTCGTTCCATGGGTAACTCAATACCTGTTCCAGCCATTCCCCGTCCCAGGCCTCCTTCTACTTTTTCAAAAAAATTATTTTCACACTGACCCCGACGACTAAACCCAATTCCAACGTCGCATGCAACGCGGACGTGTCGGAGTCGCAACCACAATGGCTACCCCCTCGGGACCGGCATCATGCGGAAAGCAAACAAGAACGAAGGAATACCCGCTCATGTCGCGCCGCCAGATCGAGCATTTGATCGCGCAAGGCAGAGTCGTCACAATCATTGACGACTTCGTCGTCAAGTTGGACGGGTGGCTGGCATACCACCCTGGCGGCGACAAGGCTATCCAGCACATGATCGGTCGAGATGCCACCGACGAGGTCACCGTGTAAGCGCAACCCTGCTCCTCTTCGATATCCATCGGATTCTCTCCGTCTCGGGCTGTGAAGACGAAGAGAAAACATTGGCTTATTGTCTTGCAATGCTGCAGACTGCATTCCCGGGAAGCCAAGGCACAGATGGCCCGGTATCGAATTGGGAGAATCGAGGGCTACTGGAGGAACTTCGTCCCACCCATCCAGGGGGGCAGGTTCAGGACGATCGAGCAACGCGGCCCGGATTTCAATGATGCCGAAGACGACGACGCACTGCGCTTTTTCGGCACCTCTTCCCCCTGCGATATCAGTTCACGGGAAGCCTCCCCCGTCTTTGACACCACCGAGAACCACGTCCGCCACAGACACAACGCCGGCCAGAGCCCAGAATCAGCTTCTGGTTCTTCGGCTACATCAGTCATCGACTGCTACGACGACAAGGAAATGGACGGTACTGCCTTTCTCAACTCGGAGACGCGGAAGCAGATCCGTCTCGACCTCGACAAGTACCCTGCCTTGGACGACGAGACGCAGTCAGAGATTGTGCGCAAGTACAGGCTCCTCGACAAGCGGATCAAGGCCGAGGGGCTTTACGACTGCGACTACCGTGCCTATGCTATTGAGGTGACGCGGTATACACTCCTCTTCGCCGCCATGTTGACGTTTTTGCGATGGGGTTGGTACTTCCCAAGTGCAGCTTGTCTGGGCTGCTTCTGGCACCAGCTCGTCTTCTCCGCCCACGACGCCGGGCACATGGGCATTACCCATAACTTCCATGTCGACACATGCATTGGCATTTTCATCGCCGATTTCATGGGCGGGCTGTCCATTGGATGGTGGAAACGGAATCACAACGTCCACCACATTGTTACGAATTCTCCCGAGCATGACCCAGACATTGAGCATCTGCCCTTCTTCGCCATCTCCCACCGCTTCCTCGGGAATCTGACGTCGTCCTACTATGAGCGTGTGATGGAGTACGATCTCGCCGCGAAGCTGTTTCTGAAGGCGCAGTCGTATCTCTACTATCCCATCATGCTGTTTGGCCGCTTCAACCTGTACAGACTTTCATGGGATCACCTCATCATGGGTCGCGGTCCCAAAAAGGGCATCGCTTGGTGGCATCGCTGGCTCGAGATAGCCGGCCAGATTTTCTTCTGGATCTGGTTCGGCTATGGCATCGTGTTCAAGTCCATTCCCACTAACTGGGACCGCTTCGTCTTTGTGATCATCAGCCACATGTTCCAAGCTCCGCTGCATGTTCAGATCACACTATCCCACTTCGCCATGAGCACTGCTGACTTGGGGCCCTACGAGTCATTCCCGCAAAAGATGTTGCGGACGACCATGGACGTTGACTGCCCGACTTGGCTCGACTTCTTCCACGGCGGCTTACAGTTCCAGGTCGTCCATCACATGTACCCGCGCATTCCACGCCACAATCTGCGCAAGACGCAGCGGCTCGTGCAGGAATTTTGCAACGACGTGGGCATTCCGTATGCCCTCTACGGCTTTGTCGAAGGCAACAAGGATGTGATCGGTCGGCTCGCTGAGGTGTCCCGGCAGGCTGCCATCTTGGCAAAATGCCAAAAGGTCGCGGCTGATCACATCCAGGGCGGCCATGGTCACTGATCGCGTTTAGTTGGCCGTTTCGGTCCTGAGTCTTAATCTCGTACGGGTCCCCTGTTCTCCCTCTAGCTGCATAATATATTTCTCTGGCGCGCTGAGAGAGGAAGCGAAGCATTCTAATCGCGATTGGAGGAGGGGGGTTGAGGTGAGGAGGAGACATGCGTACCAACCATGTAGCCTGTGGCGCTCGAGTCAAGACTGGCTGTAATATCTAGAAACAAATCCATCTGATACGGCATGTATTCTGTGTGTGAGCGAGGGCGCATGCATGCGGTATGACGAACATATGCGGTCGATACACATTATGTTGCACGGCATGATCGGGTTGCCCGATCCGAGTTCTTCGTCCCTGTTTCCTCAAGCCCCCTCGTCCCTCAAGAACTTCCGAGGTCCCGGCTGTGCCTCTTCGAACTGGGCCCGCTTTCATGATTGTCATGCTTCTTTTCCCTACCTTGTGTCTGTCTGTACGTGAGGAAGGTGGACGAGAAAAGGAGAGGAAAAGGAGAGAGAGGAAGGGGGAACTAGCAACCGTTGTAACCGAAGCTTCAACCGGCGTGGGATTTCTCCCCGGTTTTCCAATGGATACGAGAGCAGAGCTTGCATGTATACACGTACCCTCAGTCGGAATGCGGGATGATCAAGAGGCGCGATCCAGGGTCGCAATGCTACTGCGACAGAAGACAAAGTTAATTCTCTCCTTGCAACTGAATGAATCAAATCGTATACTAGCAGTCTACCTATCAAATCTCCTGTGAGGCTTCCCACCTACCTATAGTTCGGTACACGGTGATCCGGCCTCCTTAAAACAGGCCCATAGCCACGGGACGAGAACAGGTGGAACGGGACCCAAAGGTATCCGAACAGTCTTCATAGCACGCCGATAGGGGTCTATAGAAGAACTAAAGGCACTTAAGTGTACTGCGAGTAATGGCAAAGGAGTATTGAATAAAGATGGGCCCCTGTCGCCGAGTGCGAGACACCGGCCTCTTGGTTGCAGCACACGCGCGGACAAAAATGCAGATATGGACGCAAGGCTTCGGGTCGACATGGAGCGGTCACAAAGGGCAGCCCGGCTCACCGTACCTTAAGCACTCGAAAGAAAACGTGAGTGCGACATGATGTCTTACAACAGCCGTTGGCCGAGTATTCATGCTCATTCCTCCAGCAGTTGACGGCCATACAATGCATGTACTGGCCGTGTAGTTGTATTTTAGAGCCATTCTCGGCAATTGAGACTGTCCTTGGAATCGTTGTACCCCATCACCACTCTTTCGGGACAAGAGTGCGGGTACGGTTCTGGATTGGTGAAAGCGTGGCCTGGATCTGACAGACCGATAGACTCCTGTGGCCACATTTCTGGGCAAGGCCGTGGGGAGACTGAACAGCTCCTCAACAGCCACTCAGCGGCTGCTGACCGGGGAGACTGAGGGGGTGTGGCCGAAGCTCGTGGATTGGCCGTAGGCCGTTCGTCAATTTTTCTGTTAAATGGCAGTTGATGCGCAAGCGATCAAAGTATATAATGTTTTCCAGACGTCTTAGAGCATGCCGGGTTGACTTTATCTGCCTGGCAGTCTCTTGGCAGCGTCTTTAGCCTATCCAGATCTCAAATTCAACCTCAGCTCCACAACTTCTTTGGGCGTCCTACCACGACCTGGCCTCCAGTCACTATCCAGATTAAAGCGAGATCCAGTCCGTCACATGAACGACCTGTTAACGGCGATTTGACCAGGCCAACCAGCAGCCCAATCGAGTTTTGCTAGCTAAACTGCGGTGACATAGATCATCTGTCGACTGCCTTGGTAGAGGACCACCAAAGCTTCCGACCATGACCAAGAGTAACGAGATGGACGACAAGGCAGTGGCTCGAATCCGCAGCGCCCGGGGCGACGGAGTAAGTATTCGGAACGGCTGCTCATCCAGCTGCAAACTACCCTCACATGGTCCGCCAGCTCATAGATAATAGGACGGGTTTGCACAGCGAGCTACCAAGGCCGCCAAGAAGAACAGGGACAAGGACCCGTCGAATAATGACCAACAAGTGTGCCACGTAAGCGGTGGCGGTCAGCAGGAAGGTGGGAGTCAGAAGTGAGGGGTTGATAGTGTCTTTTTTATGAAGAAAAGGTGGAAGAACATTGTGAAATATTGTCTAGGTACTTGATACGACGTTTCGGAGGCCACTGGATTGCATTAGATCGAGCACCTGTCTTATGTGCATGATCCTGCCCTGTTTACTTGTGAGCTGCGGAATGGGAGCCGAGCCATGAGGGTGGAGGCATTAACAGAAAAGCTGCGCTTCATCGACGACAGTGGTTGCCAATGGTGGAATAGGGCAGAGTGTATGAAGCAATTGCAGCAAAGTAGAGATGAGACGAGATTCTTGTTCGATGACGAAGGTTAGGGAAACCGTTGATCAAGGAGTAGTACACTACGTAACTGGTATCGAATCCGCTGTAGTATCTGCCCTCAGTCCTTCCACCCTTTGGTCAGCCCTACTCTGGGTAAAAGAGAAAGGAGAGGGGGTTGAGGAAAAAGAAAGTCGCAGACCCAGCAGAGTGTTGAGAGCAGGGGTAGATGGAAGTCGTCCAGGCTGAACCAAACCGCTGGAATTTTGAGGAGACTCGTCCAACATGACTGGTTGGGATCAAGGCCGTGGTCTTGGCTTGGGTACCAGGATCGGCCAGTTGGTACAGGATGCCATTGGTTCGACAGAGGGCCGTCCGTCCCCTCGTGCCTCTCCCCTCTTGCAATCCACTAGGGTCCGGGCAACGTGGCTGTGCCGATTTGAATCCGTTAGGGACGAAGGCTTGATTGACAGCTACCTAATAGAAGGCCTCTTGTTCACTGTTTGCTTAATCAAGCGTTTCCTGCTCCTCGAAGACCTTGCCTGCAGCTCCGAGACATGGCGCCGAACCATTGTATTGTTATTCGTGCGACGGGCTGGATGACGCATCCCGGGAAGCCGAGGCGCGCCAAGGAAACGTTGGAGAGGCCGCTGTGGTCCTATGGGAACTGTATATCTGCGCCTACTCCTATCCCTCACAAGGGCGAAATACTCCATATCGCATATCCATATATAACACACTTACAGCGTCCCCTAATTGCTGTATCTTTACTTTACACATATACCGAAAGATAGCGTGGTGAGCGTGGGTAGGACGTAGGCTGTGTGGTTGTCTTCGTCATGGCAAGGCACCGCCGAGGTCTTGTTAGGAGATATGCCCACACATTGGTGATGAAAGCCGACTGGTAGTATTGAGCGCCCGTGTTGTTGGCCGCCAACAGTAAAACCAGGGCGACGGACAGACAGACATGCCAAAGGAATCGGGGCTGCCAGGAGCGAGGGGTGATAAGCGAAAGGCGAGAGGCGAGGATGGGTTTGAAAAAGAAAAGGTTCCAGGTCGAGCGAGTATCAGTACTTGACCGTGGCCGAGGTTACCTTTCTGCCTTACGCGTTGGTTTTAGGTGCTGATTTTGAACAATGCACCTAGGAACGAGAGAAAATGAGGTTCCGCAGATGCTTTGACGTCGGTCACAGGACCAAGTCGTGATTGGTTTCTCCTCCAAGAATGATGAGCGGTGTCTTCTCCCATTATCAGAGTGGCAGGGGGATCGTACGGCCTTCAAAGGTACTTACTTTTGACCAAGGTGCCTCCACGCTGTATGTCTGTTCAGCCACGCTACCTAACGCTCGGGTGCCAGGGCAGCAACTTGCAGCGAGGTGTGCAAGGTGCCTTAGTGCTTAGGGTGGTGCCTAGGAATTGAGAGTAACCGCTCTGGGGCGAGGAAAGAGGAGACTGGAGGTACCCAACGGAAGTCCCTTAGGTAAGGTGGTTTGTAGGCAACGGAAAAAGGTACATCCCATGAGCACTTCCCGCCTCCCACCACCCCGGACCCTCGCCGGTGCCCTGTTTTCTTACTATGTACCTTACCGTAGGTACCTACCTACCTACGGAGACCTTAACGTAGTTATCCAATATATCCGTACCTTACGGATAGGTTGTTCATCTTTCGCCTGTGACGCCACACCATCTCCGCCCGCCGCCTGCACCCGCCTCTTTTTCGACGTCCAAAGCCTGCTTCTTGTCACGGCCGCTCGCTCCTGTTTGCTCTTGTTTGCTCCTGACCTGGCTGCAGCCTCACTTCCGCGCGCCTATCGCGACATCACACTGCGACGCTGGATCTCTGGGGCTTCATCATCCCTTCCAAATCTCTCTTCTTCAATCTCTTTCAGTGACGCCTCTCGACAATTCCACTAAGATAGGTACTGATCCTGCGACCCGGGAGTGAAACCGGCTCAGCTCAATACTTGACCGCTTAACTTCAATTGGCTCCCGTCAGCTTATCCGTATCCTTCTCTACCTACCATTTCAACCCAACGCAGACTACCTACTTTACCTCACTTGGACCATAGCTAACACATCTCAATTAAGGTCCTGCGCCAAGATTCCGGGACATGATCCCGTCGTCGCTGTCTCGACCTCGGCATCAACCATGGAAGTCAGCATTCAGAGAGCTTTGAACGACAAGCTCTATGACAAGCGCAAGGTCGGCGCACTCGAGTACGACTTCAACCCCCCCCCCCCCCCCCTCAGCTTTCCATGTCACTCATCTCATCTCATCTCATCTTATGCTCTTCACTTGCGGCTGACTCTTTCATTTTCGACTTGCTTCAGGCTCGAACGAGTCATCCGAGAGCTGGTCGTCACTAGAGACTACCCAAGAGTCCAAGCAATCCTCGAGCAACTCTGCAATGAATTCGCATACGCTGTTCACCAACCCCATGCTCGAAATGGAGGCTTGATAGGACTGGCTGCAGCTGCCATCGCCCTCGGTCATGTATGTTTGCCTCCCCGATGTAGCCCCGGCCCATGAACGGGTTTATGCAACGCGCCTTGCCAATACACCCCTCATAGGAACTTGCTGTGACCACTCTTCTCGAACCGAACATTCGAGACTGATTTCACTCACAGGAACTGCCCCGCTATCTCGAAAAGATCGTTCCACCAGTGCTAGCATGCTTCACCGACCAAGATGCCAGAGTCAGATACTATGCCTGCGAAGCCAAGTACAATATCGCCAAGGTCGCCAAGGGGGAGATCTTGATATACTTCAACGACATCTTCGACGCCCTCTGCAAGGTTGGTACAGACGACTCCAAAATTCAAAAGCACCCCCAGTGCCGTCTTTACCCCAATGGCTGACCTGACACCTACAGCTGGGAGCCGACTCTGAGTTGTCTGTTAAAAACGGTGCCGAGTTGCTCGACCGACTCATCAAAGACATTGTCTCTGAGTCAGCTGCGTCTTACGTGTCCGTCCTTGAGGGAGACCTGGATCAACAGGAACTCAGCGACAAGGACGAACTTGAAGACCGCCCTCCCCCCCCCACCGCCTTCTCCTTGCGCCGATTCATCCCACTTCTTCAGGAGCGTATCTGGGTCATCAATCCTTTTACCCGCCAGTTTTTGGTTGGCTGGATTACGTTGCTCGACTCTATTCCGGACTTGGAACTCGTCACCTTTCTTCCCGACTTCCTCGGTGGTTTGCTCAGGTTTTTGAGTGACCCCAATAGAGACGTTCACGTTGCAACTAGAGCCTGCCTCGATAAGTTTCTCAGCGAGATCAAGAGGATTTCTAGGATCAAGAAGGGCATCGCTGAGAGCAAAAAGTCGCGCGAGGGTGGAAAACGGAAACGCGAGGAGTCGGTAGATTCGGGGAGTCTCCAAATTGGCCCGGAAGAGGGCGATGAAGTTGACTCGCAAACCGACGACGATGACAGCAGCGGCGAGGAAGACTGGGTACCGGGACAAGACGTCCAAATTAACTACCGAAAAATTCTCGAGATACTGACCGCCACTCTTGACTCTCCCCTTGGTAAGGCCCATATTTCACGACGTCGCGGAGCCAAATGCCGTACACAACTGACCATATGTGACAGAGGAAGACTCGCTCCTAGAGTCACTACGATGGATCGTCGAGTTTTTGGACATTTGCCCCGAAGAGGTGCTACCATTCACCCCAAAGGTCCTGGCCCACATGCTACCCGCTATGGCCAGTGGTGTTGAATCCATACGTCAAGCTGCTGCACGCGTCAATGCCGGCCTGATGGACTACGTAGTCTCCCTCTCCGACGAGCCTGAGATCGGTGGCGCCTCTCAGTCCATGTCACGAATCCCCGTATCTGGTGAACGACAAGAGGGGCCTTCTAGTGCACGAGCTTCCCTCTCTAGTTCGCGGGACCTCGAATTGCGGAGCCCAACCCCAGCCCAGGGACACAATCGTTCTCTCTCGACGCCGGTTGCACCGCTAACAAGTAACCACCCCCAGGTAGATCTGGACTATGCCGCGGCAGTCAATGCGTTGACGCTCTTGTTCCTCAATGACCACGAGGCAACTCGCGTTGCTGCCTTGACGTGGTTAATTATGCTTCATAGAAAGGCGCCACGGAAAGTACTCGCCTTCAATGACGGAACCTTTCCTGCGTTGCTCAAGACACTTTCGGACCCTGCCGAGACCGTTGTCACCAAAGATCTACAGCTGCTGTCACAGATATCTCGCAACAGTGAAGACGACTACTTTTCAAACTTCATGGTCAATTTACTGCAGCTGTTTGCTACTGACAGAAAACTGCTTGAGACACGAGGGAACCTGATAATTCGTCAGCTTTGCGTGAGCCTGAGCGCAGAGAGGATCTATCGTACGCTCGCAGACTGCATAGAAAAGGAGGAAGACGTCGAGTTCGCTAGCATTATGGTGCAGAATCTGAACAACAACCTCATCACGGCCCCAGAGCTGTCGGAGCTGCGCAAGAGACTTCGAAATTTGGAGTCAAAGGCAAGAATCCCTGTTTCACCATGAAACCTACTCTGCTTACGAATGGTATGCAGGACGGCCAAACCTTCTTCGTCGCGCTGTTCCGCTCATGGTGCCATAACGCCGTTGCAACCTTCTCTCTCTGCCTGCTGGCGCAGGCTTACGAGCAGGCTTATAACCTTCTACAAATTTTGTGAGTCCCAGGTTCGTTGCATAGATCTTTTGACCAAGGTGGGCTAATGGGATGGTGCTAGCGCCGAATTGGAGATGACGGTGAACATTCTCATACAGATCGACAAGTTGGTGCAGTTGATAGAATCTCCTGTGTTCACTTGTGAGTCCCCAAAGGCTCGCATCATCACTCAGCTAACGATTCAAAGACCTCCGGTTGCAGCTGCTTGAGCCTGAGAAATTCCCACACTTGTATAAATGCCTGTACGGCCTTTTGATGCTCCTCCCCCAGTCCTCGGCTTTTGCCGCCCTAAAGAATCGCCTGAACGCTGTCAGTTCGATCGGTTACCTCCATATCGCTCCCAAAGTGTAAGTGCTGCAAGGCCGTGCTTCTCCCTGGTAACGCGAGGAACTTCAACGCGTGGTTTGATGATAGTTGCTGACCCTGGCCCCGTAGTAACCCACCTTCTGCCACAAGCTCAAGCTACGATAGGCCGAATAGGCTCAAAAGTCGAGAAGATAGCATCATTCGATGGAATGAGTTACTGGAGAAGTTCCGCACTGTGCAGGAAAGGGCTCGCCGAGCCCAGAGACACTCCGGTGACGTTGAGGAAGGTCGAGGCGGCCTCGGTGTTGCGGACCTGCGGCTTGGAGAAAGTCTAGACTCCAAGGGAGCAAAAGAGGTACGCAATACTAGCGGGCCGCCTGTTCCTGTCAAAGACCCTCCTCCAGCTGCACCACCAGCGGTCAAGAGATCCGGTCTAGGAATGCGGCAGATTAGGAATCTGGGAGGCGCGGTCAGGGGAAAGCGACCTGGCTAATGGTCGACACGGACGGCTTGTAGCCTTTAGCGAATTGTTGTTCAAATACCCACAACACGAGCAAGCGCAAGCATGCATGTGTCTGTATTGTAGACAAATAAGATGATTATCAACGGCCTTTGCGAGGGCTTTCGCGTTCAACGAGCCCTTCGAAAATGGCATCGCGGTGCTGCGCAACGGCTCGGACCTCTGCGCGAAGGTGTTCTAGCTCGGCTCTGGCTGTCTTGACATCATCAGGGAGAGCCGAGAACTGACCGACTTCGGCATCCAGACCCTTCTTTTGGGTGAGGAGGTCAAGAAAGCTAGCCTCATCTTGGGCAACCTTTTCAATGGTAGGGTAGCAGGCAGCTGGGGACTGGTTGAGGGTAGACATGCGGTCCTTAAGTTCCGGGATGCGCGCGGCCATCGCCTTAATCCTCCTCTGCATATCCAAGTTCTGCCCGGCCAGGTCAGCGACAGGTTTATAGTCGTCACTTCTCAGTGTGCGCAACATCTCGGTAGCCATGGCCGACTCTTGCTCAATGTGCTTTTGAAGGATCTGCACTCGAAGCCGCATCTGCTCTAGCTCCGAGGCTTCAGCGTGGAGAGCAATCATGGAGCGGCCAATACTCTCAGCATCCGGATGAGCCACGGAGAGTTGACATGACAATGTGGCCAGCGAGTTAAGGGCGGTGCGTCCTTCGCGAGTGAGGTGATCCTGGACGGTACCGAGAATCCTCTCCCGGACGGTGGCTGAGGTCGGGAGATCTGACTGGGCTTCGGAGTGGTCTTGGGCGACGCTGAGCTCATTGAGGGCGGCGACCTCGGCCCGAGCAACTAGTTCACGCTCTTCATCCGCAGCTTCGTTGGAGTTTGCCAGTGCGAGGAGGGCTTTGAGAGTTACGGGATTGCGCTCGAAGAGCGGGATTGACCGGCCCTGATATTTTGAAGCGAGCCAGCTGTCAACATAGCTCCACTCTTTGGCGGCGGAGGCGGCAATACGAGCTATCGAGGGTGAGAAGATGGCAGTTGAAGGTGGGAGATGAGCCATGTTGGGATGCGGTGAGGTTCCAATGCCCATCTCATGGAGATCATGTAGAGATGCCTGCTGTTGGCATGAGCGGCGGAGATACTGGGCTGGGTAATTGCAGTTGTTGTGATCGTTGTTGCTTGTAATTGTCGTCGAGGAATTCGAGGTGCATTGGTTGCGATGCTGCCAGCTTTGTCTCCCGACGGACTGATTGGTAGCACGAGGCCCTGAGGATCAGGGCGATTTTGATGCAAGGTACCGTGTACGTGCTCTGTGAGGTATAGGACTCTGCCTAACTAGGCAAGGTACGTTATGTATCCCTGCAAGGAGGTGCGAAGTGGAGCCGATCTCCAACGTGTCTACTTGTGGAATCTGGACACCTCAGCGCGTCGTCCCCGTCGCATTCGTTGACGGAATATCAAGTTTGCGACTCAATCATTCAAGGCGGCACTTCCAAAGCGAAGTGCTCTCCAGCTTTCTTAAACCTCTCATGCAGTGTGTATGTGTGAACCGCAAGTGACAAAAAAAAGTTTTCACGTTCATTTCCAAAGCCTAGCATACCTTGCCTTGATAACCTGGTCTAAAGCAGTCCTGGCTGCAGCCCGTGAGTGTGTGTACCTTTTAGATTGGACAACATCTCCGGAAGGAGGACAGGAATGAGGCTTTCTCACTGTCAGCCCGTTAAGGAGTACTTGCTCCACACCCTTAGCTTAGTTGGCCATATGTAGCTTTCATCGCTATTATTATTCGTCTTCTTTTGAGGACAACTTTTCCAATTTCATCAACCTCCTTAAACCCTTCCAAACCCCCCGCCCCCCTTCCGCTTTCTTCGAGCCTTCGGCATTTCTTCTTCCCTCAAAGCTTGCCCACTAAGTCCTACTTAAACATCTCGCTCTGATCAATAGATCCCTTTCCACTCGTTAGTCGCACTCACCTGGCGCCAGCCATGTACGTCCGCCTTTGCGCCCTGGCTTTCGCAGCCAGCCTGTTCTCGACGCCTACTCTTGCCATATCCGCCGACCAGATACCCTCCGATACCCCCGTGTCTTCCCTCCTGACAACCGCTCAAGCTCATCTGTCCAAGGGCCAGACGTCTGATGCACTTGTATATTACGATGCCGCTGTCGCCCGCGACCCATCAAACTACTTGACACTTTTCAAGCGCGCGACAACCTACCTCTCCCTCGGCCGCACCAACCAGGCAACTGAAGACTTCAACAAGGTTTTGTCACTCAAGCCCGGCTTCGAGGGTGCCCACGTGCAACTGGCCAAGATCAAGTCGAAAACCGCAGACTGGGATGGCGCAAGGGAGCAGTACAGATTGGCCAAAAAAGACCCCGCCTCGCCTGAGCTCGCTGCTCTCGATGAGGCCCAGGGCGCCACCCATCTCGCTGAGTTGGCCGAGAAGAGTGGCGACTGGGAAGCCTGCGTAGGACATGCCGGCCAGGCCATCATGACTGCAAATCGAGCCATTTCTCTGCGCGAGATGAGATCGCGCTGTCGTTTCCAGCGGGGTGAGGTCGAGGAGGGTATGAGCGATCTGCACCACGTGCTGCAGATGAGGCCGGGGGACACGACGCCACACATCAAGATTGCCGCCATTACCTTTTACGGACTCGGTGACCTCCAGAACGGCATGGCCCAGACGCGGAAGTGCCTGCACTCCGACCCCGATTCGAAGCCCTGTAGGAAGCTTCTGAAGCAACAAAAGGCCATTGAAAAGACCCTCAACAGGGTCAACAAGGCTTTCGAGAAGAACCAGCCCATGACTGGCGTCAAGCTGCTTATCGACTCCGCCGACGAGACCGGATTGATCACCAACATCAAGAACCAAGTCGAGGAATTACGCGCCGACAGCACCATACCCTCTGGCGCACAATCATTGCTGTACATTCAAGTGGCAGAAATGGCGTGTCAGGGATACTACGACGTAAGTACAACATGCGCCGGAAGAAGCTATGTTTGATGTGGCTAACAACCGTCATAGATGAACGGCAAGAAGGCTAAACAGTACTGTGAGGAGGCTGTCGCCCTCAATGAGCAATCGTTCTATGGCCTGCTGTACCGCGCCAAGGTTATGATGGAGAAGGAAGAGTTCGAAGCGGCCATTAATTCTATCGAGGAGGCTAGCAAAGTCCGTCCAGACAAGAACGACATTATCCAACCCCTCATGCAAAAGGCACAGATCGCCCTGAAGCGGAGCAAGACAAAGGATTACTACAAGGTGCTCGGTGTATCTCACGACGCCGATGAACGCCAGATTAAGCAGGCATACCGCAAGCTCTCTAAAATCCATCACCCCGACAAGGCTGCCAAGCAAGGACTCACGAAAGAGGAAGCGGAGAAGAAGATGGCATCTATTAACGAGGCGTACGAGGTTCTCAGCAACCCTGAGCTCCGGGAACGTTTCGACCGCGGCGACGACCCGAACAACCAAGAGCAGCAAGGTAGCCCTTTTCAAGGTAACCCCTTTGGCGGTGGTCATCCGTTCATGTTCCAGCAGGGCGGCGGCGGTGGAGGTCAGCAATTCCACTTCAAGTTTGGTGGAGGAGGCGGCGGTGGTTTTCCCTTCTAAGGGGACGACCGTACCTTATGGGGAAGAGAGTGCAGCATGAATCAGGGAGTTATATCGGTCAAAGCCTGGAGTTTCACGGGGCCTCACTCAACGGCCAACATTATGTTTTATCGTCATTCGTAGTATGAGAAGGAAAAACGGCTCCAAGCCAGGATATTACAAGCCAGTCGACCGCACGCTTCTCTTCTGCGGCCAGTATAGCCACCTTTTGAATCAGAAATATACGTACAGGTACTAAGAAAAGTATCGAAGTTGGAATATGAAGCGTAGAGAGTAAGCATCGCAAATCCTTCTTGCTAAGACGCTTCTTTGGTACTTGCTTTGCGTCATTACTGCGCTGGTATTTGTAAGAGGATGTAGGACGTTGTACAGTGCTACAGATAGACATATTCTTGAGGCGTCCCTGCGGCTCCACGCGCCTTCACATCTAACGCGGCCGAGCCGGCTTTGAGTAGCGATATGTTATCGACGAAAAAAACACTTTGCATCCTAAGAGGCTGTCATGGATTGGCCTAACAGAAATCCTGCACGCCTCTTGGGGAGCAAGTTGGTCGCGCTCAAACATCAAAATGACGGGCTATTTTTGTTTGCTAGACGAAATTCGGCTGTGCCGGTTCTGGTTGCCTCGTCCGCCCTCTGTACACGTTGAATCAAGTTGTGATGCCCGGACTTCCGAAGTACCAACTCTCGCTCCGTCGATGGTATGTATTGCTGCCACAGGCCCTTGGTGGAGGCTGTGATATTCACGAAACACAGAAATGGTTGAGAGAGAGAGACGGCATGTCAGATTAGTTTCTATAAATCCATCCGTGAGCATACCAACGCCAGGCAAGTCCGTCATTTTCTGACGCCAACATGTTTAGTATCCTTTCAAACATTGCATTTTGCCAAACCGCCGGCCCCCCGGCACCAAGTAGGCCCCGCTCGGAAGACTGCGTGCGTCGTTCCTCACGTCACAACCTAGCAGAGGAAGAGTAAAAATACCTCGCGAGGATTGGTGGTATCGTGCCTCACGTGCCCTCCCGTATAAAAAGACCAATTCGGGGGTTCGAGTTCCCCATGGTTCTCGACCCTGCTTTCTAAATTTACACAACCGCTCTAATCGGTGATCGAATCGTCATTGACATTCTTTTTGTATGTGCACAGCGGCGTATCGCTTCAAGGGTTCGGGTTGTCGTTCCGAGCGATGAAATAGGCTCTGCGAGGTTCTTACGTCAATGTACTGGTTCTCGTATGGGGAAATCAGGAGCAACCTACTTGCAAGCCTCGTAGGCAGACCAGCAAATGGCCGTACTAGGCATGGTGGTCACCACGCGGGGGCGCATGCCCTTGAAAAATCCGCGGAAACCTTCACGCTCGTACAATAAACGGCATCCAGCCACGAATCCGTTCACGTTTCTCAATGCCGGGTCAGTGGCAGTTCCTCGGGTCTGGAGCATCGTCTTGATGACATCCATAGGTGTAGTCAAGGCGGCAGCGAAACCACCGGCAACACCACCAGCCAAGCAATGCGTTGTGGGATCGTATCCCTTGTTGGGGTTCATAGCCGTGGATATGGATTCGTACGCGAGGAATTGGAGGGCTGTGAAGGGCACCGTCATAGAGAGCGTGGTTGGGTAAGAAACATAGAAAGCCGCCAGTCCTTCAGTCTTATAGACATACTTGGCGCAGTCGGTCATGGAACGGTACATCTTGGCCGATCCCTGTATCTGCATGCGCTGTTTTATGACTGGAATTAACTAGACGTCAGCAGTTGGGATCACCAAGAGGACGAACGTGGTGATATTAGGAAGCCACGCACCATCGAAGGGGTTCATCAGCGCATCGCTGGCAATCGTAGCGCAAGCACCGCTGGTCGCAGCAGCCAGCGGATGGTGAACGCCAGCTTGATTGCCACCCATAACATGCTTGACAGCCTCATAGGTAGCAAAGTAAACAGCATGAGCGGGACCTGAGAGCGTGAGCAACGGGAAGGTCTCCTTGGAGAGGACAGGGATCTGGCTAGTAGGGAATCACTCACCGGCACCGGCAACGACACTAGACATGCCCCTCCACAAGCTCAGGAAGCCCTCGCGACTGGCTATACGGTAGGTGCCCTGAATCACACCATTGTAGACGGCCGAGGGATTGGGGTTCAGGACCTGCATTCGGGTCTGCAGAGCTCGGGTTAGCGGACAATGGTTCGCGATACCTAGATTTATGGGAAGGAGCCGCATCGTACCTTGATAGCGTCGATAGGATACATGACGGTATGCTCCTGCAAATGGAATCATCAGCTTCCGGGTTCCTATAGATAACAGCCATAAAGGCGGGCAGCTAATCTGAAGACTGCGAGAGAAGGGTATCTCGCACCGCTATGCCCGCAAACGCCCCGGCAGCCATGTTCTGCGCTAGGGAAAAGTTGGGCGGTAGAGATTCATAGCTGGTAGACCGACGAGTCAGCAAGAGTGAATCGTGTGTGCATTGCAGAGGGAGTTGAATGCGAGGGCGGGTGCGGAAGATGTGGGCGTGAAGAGTTTGTAGATGGGGGCATTGCGCACTCATATTCCTCGGCGGGCTCTGCATTGGGCTGGGCCATTGCGGCCGCAGCAGATGCTTCGCCGTAGGGCTTAGGCTGAAGAGCCGCCAGATTGACAGCTGGAGGGGGGTCGAGGGGGTCGGCGATGGCGACCACGGATGTGGTGGGAGGAGCTCTCGTTGAGCGTGACGCGGAAAAGATTGCGTCGGTCGTCTGGCTCGATGGCTTCTCTGTTTTTCTCTCCTCTTTACTCGCGAATCTCTCGTGTATGCCTAGGGAAGACCTACGGCTTTTGGCGTAGGTATGGAAAGGCCCGTGGAGGGTCGGTATGGCTGGGAAAATCGAGGGTCGAGTAGCGGCGTGCAATGATAAGTACAAGTTCAGTGGGAGCTATCTGGGAACAGCGGCCTTGAGCTCACGACGCCGTGCGTTGGAGTTGCGATGCACGGTTGGTATGCAGGCGGTAATTGCGAGAGATGAGGTTGTAGGAACGGCGGACGTAGGGAAAGCCAAACCAAATGGTAGCGGGAGAAGAAAAAAAAAGGCCAATTGGAGCTAGCAGAGTCAGGGAAAGCACAGGCAGTGGAGGGGGGGCGAAGGTAAAGGTACACTTGGTACCCGTATGAGGTGGATGCCGGGGCCGAGGAAGAGAGGGGAGATAGAGCGCGAGAGTGTAGAGAGATCACAGCGCCCAAAAGCTAAGGTAGGTACTTACGGATAGATAGGTGGTAATTACTTGACGAGACGCGTGCAGGTTCAAGGTATAGGTAGGCAAGGTAGGCAAGGTAGGCAAGGCACGGTAGTCGCAGCTTTTCAGGCTCGAACAAAGGGAGTTGAGGTGGGTTTCCAGGGGTTCCCAGGCGAGTTACAAGCAGACCAACCTATTTTGAGGCACCTACGTCAACAGAATCTGTCTCTAGCTAGCTGTAGGCATGCTTACCTATTAGGTGCGATTCTTGATTGAACTTTAGTGCGTTGACTGAATCTTGGTATAGCAGAGCATGACAGCGGAGGCTGCCAAAGTGGAAGACCAGAGACAGGATACACTTTGATCCAATTGTATATATCAGAACAGTAAGGCGAAAAAGGCAAGACATGGAAAAACCACTGGAAAATTGTGTCAGCATTCCACTCTGCCCGTGCCAGACGTGTCCTCAAAAGAAAGTGTCCCAGCTCAAATGGACAATCCAACCTCGGGTCTTGTCTTGTGCGGCCTCGGAGATCAGCAGCCCGCTTTTCCCCAAGACTGGACTGTCAGCAGCCAGCATTAGGCAGTTGATGTCTTTTATTCCTGCACCCTCGAAGTATTCAACACGTCTCCCAGTCTCCATTTCATTGCATCCGGTTGATGGCAGAGTGGATTACCTATCCTAGCAAGATCTCTGTGGGTTTCCTCCCGGGGGCCCGGGTTGGTTATCAGTCTCATCTCCTATCTGCTGACCTGGCTCTACATTCAAACTTATATCCGTAAACAGCACCGAATTGTGGCGGCAGTGAGCCTCAGTGTTTGTATCGTCAGGTTGGCATTTTCGTTTCTGCGTTTTCCCTGACCGTGCAGAAATACAATTATTCATGACGCTGACTTTACATCCAATGCGACCACATCCACTCCAATGACAGTTGCATCCAACATCCAACCAACCCTCTTGTCAATCCCAGGACGGCAGAATTGGCCCACCAATTAATACCATCCAACTCAACAGCATTGAGGATAAGGGATGCTTGGCCTCGGGACTCCGATCACAGTCATCAACATTTAGAAGAACCAGTACCCAAGGTGAGGATTGCCGTGTTGTTTTTCTGTTCACCCAAGATAGCCAGCCAAGCACGCGGTTGACCAAAAAAAAAAAAAAAAAAAAAAAAAAAAAAAAAAAAATAATAAAACTAAAAAAAAAAAAAAAAAAAAAAAACAAAAAATAGTAAAAAAAAAAAAAAAAAAAAAAAAACCGCATATCCGTAATGTACAAGTATCCTCAAAAAGACCCCATCAAAATATGCCAAGATCAAGACAGTTTATAATTAATAAAATATTTCCAAGAATTATTCTAATTTGTTAATAAACGAGAAATATTTTTAATGATTATTAACTAATCAATTTATTGTTATATCATAGGTATAACTCAGGCATCCTTGATGTGTGCGAGTTTTTGTCAACCGCACGCCAAGGTAGCCCCCCCACCCCAAAGATCCAGCCCGTGCTTTCTCAATGACTCCGTGTGCCCCGGTATCTCCAGTCTCCCGACCTATCCCATATAAGCGCCCTCCGGCGAGTGACCATAGAGTAGAAAGCTGGTCAACCCGACAGACAGATCGTCACTGGCAGGATCCCTGGATTGGGCCTCATAAGACCCGCGACATCTAAGTTTCTAGAAATACAGAAGGAGCCTCTTACCCTTGGGGGAAGCTGGGTTTACCTCCGGAATTAATAACCCATTAATTTGCGTACTCGCTTCGATGCTTCTTCCTCGTGGAACCTCCGGCCTCGGTCCTGGAATACCGCACCCTTTTGGCGAGTCATATCTACTATCCCTGTCAATGAATTGGGTAATGTGGTGGAGGTACGAATACAGACACAGTTGACAGTACACTACTGGAGGCCGAACGCTTTTCCATCTTTATTCTTCCTTCTATTCTCTCTCCCTCGCTCCCCTCTCTCAAACCTACAAACCCTACACTCCGTAGGACAGTTAAAACCAGTGAAATGTGGGTCGGTATATGTAGCTTGATTAAAGCAAAGTCAAGGAGACGGAGGGAATAGAGGACCGCGAAGAAGAAAGTCATCTCACTATCTATACAATGGCACAATGCGGAAGAGGATGGGAGGCTCTCGGATTCGTCAGCCTTGGTTCTCAGTTCCCTACGTAAGTTGACATGGCCCTTGGCTACCTTACCATCTAATCTCATCTTATCAATCTCCAGCCCTGGAAGCCTACCTATCTGCCGCTGATAACACCTCACCGTGTGCGGTCGCATCCACCTTAACGTGCACCGGGCAAAAACGCTCCGCTTTCCCTCCTGCACTGTTGCATGAGCTGCTACCAGCAGTCTGAAGCCTCCTACTTCAGCCACCTGGGTGTTTGAACCAGACCGCATTAACTCTCTTGAGAACCTCCTTTATTTACGCACCGATGCTCTGTCCATCCCAGCGTCCTTATATATTCTTGCCCGCAGATTACTACTCCCGGAAACACGGGTCTCTAAATGCGGGCTGCTCGGAGATACGACATCTCCCTTCTCCGGTCTGGTCCGGTGTACTCTCCGTCGAAGCCTCTCATTCGTGATGAAGATGTCCAAATGAACATTGCTATCTACTATAATTCTAAAAAAAAAAATTAGTAGCCCCTCTGTATCCGTACGACTGGGCTTTTTGAGCCGGGTATTCCCCATCGCATTCCTTCGCCAAGCATCGCGGTACCTACATCAAGTGCTGAATTTGTTAAACGCCGTAAAAATACATCTTCCCATGACACGTTTATCCAGTTTCCACTCTCCGGATTGAAGTCTATGGTGACCCCATCACAAATTGTCTGAGCCGTATCAGCATTAGAGCGTTCCTCCGCCTTGGGGGTTGTTGCGGTGGGCCTGCTGGAATTGGTAAATCAGCCCCAACACCCCGGCGTCTTGCTCGCTCGTGTCAGCCATGCTGTTTTCTCGACTCAAACCTTTCGGCGGCGACGTTTCCCATACGGACTCGCCCAAGGGCCCTGAGCCCTCAAAGACCTCGTCGTCAAATAGTCCTTGAGAATGCAGTCGGCCATCTATACCCAAGCCATCTTCGGTCGACTCTTCAATGATGCCTTCCCCTTGGTATCCGCCACGACCCGCTCGGCTCCGATGCGTACTTCGGATGCCGAACCCTGTCGCGGCTGGTTGGTGGTGTGGGTCGAGGAGCATCGATGCCATCGGCGACGGGGCCGTCATCGAGGGTCCGAACCTCGGCGTTCGAGTTTGCTGTCCAACTCCACCACTAGGGGCTCGACTTCTCGATAGGTCATGCCGACCCATTCTGGAGCTTTGCATATCGGCCGCCAGCGTCGGCGAGTTCAGCCCGGGAAACACTGGTGGAGGGTGGAAAGGATGTCGACTGCCCGGCGGTAAATGACCCGGAATGCCCGTCTTCGGGTTTATCACATAGTTGTCCAAGAAGCCATAATAAGACGCCGCCATCTTGTTATGCTTCGTGGAATAATAGTCTTCTCGAACATCGCCAGGTCCGGAATGTTGCTTCGCCTTGCCCACACCCTTCTTGAAGTCGAACTCAGCAAAAGAACAGATGTAGCCAACTCCATCCACGTGGATCGTGAATTCTCGGAAGAAGTCAATTATCTGATCGCTGCATTTCGGTGCTGAGTAGATCAGCACCAGCGAGGCCGTGAGGATACCAACGATCTCCTCAATCAGAATCACCAATTTGAGCTTGTACAACTCCGAAAATTCTCGCTTTACGTCGGCTGTGTGAAGACGGTCCTTCCAATGGTCCGGCATGTAGCGCGTGTACTCAATGACGTTGCGCAGAGCGTAATCTGGATCGAACACAGTTGTCTCTTCAGATATCATGCCTCTGGCAGCCGCCCATATGGCGGCGAATAAGCCAATATAGAACAGTGCGGACCGTTCCGATGTGATCTCGAAACCAAGGAACAGCTGTGGATCAAGAAACGAGGCGACGGCGAGAACCGAAGTGATGGCTCCTGCGATGAAGGTTACTGTCCTAGCAAATTGCTCCGTCATTTTCTTCGGGAACTGGTCAATATACCGAGTCGCAAACGGATAAGACATGTTGATGCGCTCCTGGAAGAGATGCGGGACCTCATTGAACTCTCGGAACTTCCACTCAGCAAGAGGCGTGTACCTTCTATGGCTGAACGTTGAAGGGTCTTTCTGATATTCCTAGTGTGCAACCCATCAGCTTATGATAGGTTCACCGCGAGGGGACGACGAAGTGCTTACATTGTAATATGTGAATGCATGGACCACGATGAGATATGCGACCACGAAAGGCCCAATTAGCAAGTTGATGATTCCGGCGAAGACAAGCCTCGACTTCAACTTGATGCTCAAAAGGCCTCGGCGATCTGCTTTGAGGAATTCTTGATGAACTTGGTTGTTGGAGTCGAAGATGTAGGTCAAAATGGCGAAATGCAAGTTCCATTCTAGACTTCGGGAAAAGAACTGATGTTGCCGCAAGAAAGGTATCGGGAGTGTCAGGTCGAGAATGTCCTTGTTCATCATTGCTATCAAGTAATTCTCTCGCCGCATGAGACGATTGGCAATGTCTGCGGCATCCAGCCTCTCCTTAGACTGGTTGCGCATCCACTGTCGCGCAGATGGGCTCACGTTGATGGCTGTTTTGGGGTTCGCGTCCCGTAAGGCCATGACACGAGCAACGATATCTTGCCAGGAAACTGTTTGCATGTCCTCCTCTGGTATCTCAAGTAGATGTATATAGAAGTTGCGCATGTGATTCAGACGTCGGAGATCCATGGTGAACTGTACTGTTTTCCATATAAAGTAGAAGACGTACAGCCACAGGCCTGTGTTCCACATGAAAGACATTTTTCTGGTGCATTGAGGGACTGTTACGTCTTTCAACGAGTTGTTGTTTGGGATTTTTGTGTACTCAACACACTGAGTCAGAAAGGTCAGAAAGACGGCGAAGAAGGCAGATTCCCTAAAGGTATTTGGTCAGCATCTCCCGAGTGGCTGTCAACATCCAGCAGACTGAAGGTTCAACTCACACCAAGTGCAACGCCCGCGCGCACGCGATGCACCAGAAACCGCTACCTCGGTAATAGTAGTAGACATCCTGAACGAAGAAGTCGAGGTTCGAAACATTCACCCATCTCCAAAGAGCCTTTTCTTTCTCGTTATTAGATGCGAGGCCTCCAGCATGTCGCTTTGGGTGAGGCCTGATTGGCCTGATGGTATCTGCTGGATAAAGCATTTGCTGCGCTTGCGTTGCCTCCCATTGGGCATGGGTTCGTCCACTGGAGGGACCTGGAATTGCGTTTTGCCTTGCTGAAGTAGCTGGCTTCCTTCGTGTAGATCCTTTGGAGCGCGTCTCAGCTTCGTGTGGTTCAACTAGTAGAGAAGCCGGAACGTCATTATCTCCATCATCATCCTGTCCCTGCCATCGTGGACTTGGCTCTTGTCGGTTTCCCCGTCGCGGAATTCCGCGACTAGCCGGCCCCGTTGTGGCTCCTGCAGGCGTTTTGAGCAGGTTGGCATTACTGTCCAGAGTTGCTCGACTGTCTTCTGCGGTAAGGCCTGGTATGTGGTCCAGGTCGTAGTCTTGGAACTGCTCTTGCAGATTCTCCTCGTCTACATCCAGACCTGCCCTTTCTTCAATATCCAGGTCGCCGTCAGGGTCCCCTCTGAGTTCTTTGTAAAAAGATCTAGACCCTCGAGATAGCGGGGCGAGTTTAGGAAGTATGCTGGATGCCATGTTGACGGAAAGGCAATCGAAATTCGGTAGAGGCTGGTCGGTCGTCAAAATTAACGCTCGTCGCTCATGGCGTTAAAGGGTTGTTCGAAGAAAGAACGGGTGCAGCTTGCGCAACGAGTAGGAGTCGAATTTGGAGGGAACGGCCGGCTCGGTGTTGCATTCCTAGAATTGGTTTTGGTCAGCCCGGGGGAAAGACGAAGTGTAGGAAGGTAAACGATTTGAAAATGAAATTGCCGTCGTCACTTGATCAGAGGTTCGGCCGTCATGTGGCCAGCTCGGGTGGTCGCAGGTGACAGAAGCTTTGGGTAGTGTTGGGGTGAACGACTTGATACTCACAAGCCCATGCGGTGTGCCTCCTTGTCAACTCAGGTAACCCAAGGTGAGGTAGGTCAGGGTAGCTAGCTACCTTAATGCATATTAGCGAGGCTTTAATGCCGCTGAAACGGCGAAAGAGCGGTAACAATCATGTAGTCGGCATGCCAGTAAAGTAGGAAGTAGAAGAGCATAGAAGAGCGACATGTTCTGCATAGATACATTGCCTATCTTACATGGCGTGCCGGCTACTTACGCTAGGGTACCCCATGCGCGGACGCTGTTCACCTGGGCCCCTCAGGCAGTGGCAGTAAAGATACCGTACTTTAGCTCTTGAGAAACCGAAGCTGTAGCGCCCATCAGAGCTCAGAATTAGTGTACGCTTTGGCTTCCCATTTGCGGCTACAAGCCTACCTTATGGTACAGTCAATCATCACAGGCAGCCAGCTACACTACCTAGAGTGACGTACGAACACATCCAGGTGACGGCATGCCCGGGGTGGGCAACCTAGTGAGGGGATATGGACGCAGGCAGCAGGCGGTGAATGTCGTTCTGGCCGCGAATGTACCGTACTCGACCGCCTTCAGAGTCAATGTCATGCGAATACCTTACCTAGGTGCCTTACCTTTATCCGAATCTTGCCTATCTACCTATTTTAAGGAATTCTGCCACCTTACCTTATTCGGGAGGTGTTGTTTGGGCTGGATGCAGTCCACTATTTCTCTCCTCCGGCCAATAAGAAGGTTACATTCAATTGTTACTCTTCAGGGCATCGTGACTGACGGCATCGGGGTAGTTATAACTATCATAGTCAAGAGGAGAGAAATTAATGGCAGCGCGTTTAAGTGCACCGCAATTATGGTAATTGCTGTAGTTGACGTAATCAGTGGCAAGGCAAATAGTACTACTGAAGGCAGTGTGATTGACGATGTCTACCTTAGTGCACCTCAGTTAACGGCCTTATTGCTGGGGGAGTGGAGCAGCTGCAGATGTGACGGGAACCCCGCTCTAATTGGCTTACAGTGATAATAAATGGGTCACTTTGGGGTACCTCAGGCTTTTCCTATCTCTCATAAGAGCCAAATACTCACTATTGCATATTCATATATAACACGCTCAAAATATCTATTAATTACTAATAAATGTTCCTTCGAAAAAGAAGGCACCTACGGATACTAAGGTACCTTAGATAGTAGGCACCTAAGGTGCCTGAAGCGTCTAATGAGACGGGTAAAGTTGCTTACTTCGGCCATCTTCACTGTCCATGAGCGCCAGCGCCCCTTGAGTGCCATAGGAATAACCAGCAGTCCTATATTCCAAGGTCTTGTGCCCACAAGCTATTCGACCACAGGAGGGCATATCAAACTCCTTCATAGGTAGACAGGGGCTGCCAACCAACATTATTTTCAATTTCGTCATCAGCTATTCTTCCGAGCGCGGCAGTGAGCTCGGCTGGCTCACTTACTCTTGCTCAACATGGTCTCAGCTCAGCCGCCTCCTTCCCTAAGATCACTGCCCGGCAGAGATGTGTCCAGTTCTAGCATCGGCAGTATGCCTCAGTCACCCTCGACCACATCATCGATGAGGGCACTGAATCCTCTTTCATCCAAGGTGGCAACCGTTCTTTCAACATCATACGCCGATTCCGAATTCCGGGACGCATTGCAACTTCTCGACAACCGGAACCTCAAGAACACCCCCGAGACACGCCGTCAGCTACGACTAGACTTGCAGAAGGAGGTGATTGACAGCAATGGAGAGATTGTCTTCCAATTTGGCCGAGTTGCCGATGTGAGTCTCTCCGCTTAATGTCCCCAGTCTATCTTTTTTTCTCTCTGACATCCAATCTAGCAATTGCGCCGCATAGGGGCTACCCTGGACAAGCTGAATAACAACTATCAAGATGTGAGGAGTCGAATCACTGCAGCCCAACAGGAGACGGAACCTATCTTGGAAGAGGCTTCATCCCTGTTGAAACAGCGAGCAGACGTGGAATCTAAACAGCAACTTCTCAAGGCGTTACGCAGCCACTTTATCCTCTCTGATGACGAGGTTGCCTCTTTGACATCGACCGCCGAGCCTGTTGACGACAAATTCTTCACGGCTCTTTACAAGGCAAAACGAGTAAGTCAGGACTGCGAGATCCTACTCGGATTCGAGAAGCAGACGCTAGGCCTACAACTCATGGAGCAGACGTCCAAGAATATCGGCCTTGCATTCCAAAAGTTGTATAAATGGGTTCAACGCGAGTTCAGAACACTGAATCTTGAGAACCCTCAGATGAACTCATCTATTCGCCGCGCCATTAGAGTCTTAGCAGAACGGCCTTCGCTCTTCCAAAATTGCCTAGATTTTTTTGCGGAAGCTCGAGAACGCATCTTGTCCGACGCTTTTCACGTTGCCTTGACTGGCACAACGACCGCGGGTCTAGAAGATCACTTGGTCAAACCGATTGAGATGGCCGCCCACGATCCGCTTCGTTATGTGGGTGACATGCTCGCCTGGATACATTCGGCCACTGTCAGTGAAAGAGAGGCTCTAGAAATCCTTTTCGTATCGGAAGGCGATGAAATTGCCAAGGGACTTCAGATGGGCCGGGCGAATGAGCTGTGGCAACTTTTGGGCGAAGGTGACGCTGATACAGCACCCGATTTTGATGCTCTCAAAGCGCTTAACGACCTCGTAGACCGAGATGTCTCGGGGGCAACGAGAATCTTGCGGCAGAGGGTTGAGCAGGTTATTCAGTCCAACGAAGAGACCATCCTCGCCTACAAGTTGGCAAACATCCTTGGCTTCTATCGATACACGTTTGCCAAGCTTTTGGGTAACGAGTGCGGGTTATTGGAACTTATGACGGGGCTCGAGACAGGCGCCTTGAGGCAGTTCCGATCGCTCATGAGGGATCATATTGCAACGCTACAAGGCGATTTTCAGCAGACGCCTTCGGATCTTGTCCCTCCAGACTTCTTGCTTGAAGCGTTGAAGCAGCTGAAGGCGGTCATGAAGACATATGAGATTTCGCTGGCAGCATCATCGGACCGCGAGACCGACTTCCAACCAATTCTTGCAGAGGCTTTTGAGCCCTTCCTGGTGGGCTGCGAGAATATGGCCAAGGGTGTGAGACAACCGGCTGGTGCCATCTTCATAACCAATTGCTTGCTTGCAGCAAAGCATACGCTAGAGCCCTTCGACTTCACGAATAGGAGAACACAACGGCTGCAAGAGAGAATTGTAGAAGAGAGCGAAAAGCTCACTGAAGAGCAGTACCAATTCTTCCGACGCGGTTCGGGGCTAGGGCAGATTCTCGGATCTTTGAGCAATCTTACGACAGAAACCAGCGATGTGAAGAAAGTAGCATCGCTTGAGGAAATACAGCCCCCAGTCTTGAGTCAAGCGAGCCAGGCTCTTGACGACTTCTTACCGTCGGCGCTGATGGACGCTATGGAGAATGTGAAGCGCCTGCAAGACTCAAGTCTAGCGCGAGAGCTCACGGAGAAGGCTGCGGAGAGATTCTGCGACGAGTTTGAGCATATCGAGCAGTTATTGCTCTTGGCGGACGAGCTGTCGTCCGGTCACTGTACCTCGGGCGCCGAGGGTGACGAGTTCCAGTCCCTGCGAGACTTGTTTCCCAGGACGACGGGGGAGATCAGGGTCCTCTTGTCGTAAAGAGGACAATGCGGTGTGACACAAGGTGTTTGGCAAGGTATAAGTGAGGTACGAGGCCCATGCCGAAGGGATGGAAAGAACGCCGCGGTACTGGTATGCCATACCTACCTACCTGGCCTTGGGTACTGGGCAGAGTGGCGGGCTTGACCAATCTCCGTCCTCTACCTAAAGGTATAAGGTAGCCTGCGGGACTAGGTACGTCCGGTGGTCGAGTTCAGGCTTTGAGGAGACTACGTCACAGGTGGACAAGTAACCATAGAGGAAACTATTCAACCTCCTACATCTTCAATAACCAGTTGTCGCAGTACGTTGCTGCCTCCCGATTTGATGCATAGGCCACCTCCTCCGCTTTGTTATGTGACTTGCAGCGCAAGGTGCCAAATTGCTGTCAGATGCTTGTCTGTTCTTTGTGTTGACTGTCCCTGGTGTACATCTAACATTGCGCGAGCATCTGCGTATAAGGCATGAAGATGAAGGTATGATCACGTATTGGCAGGCGCCTGATCAACCTCAGGTCGACACTCTAGTAATTTCCTTACAGGAACCTACCTTTCGTGACCCTGGTCAATCGGTGCGCCTTACCTAAGATAGGTTTACCCCCACTCAGCCACCGGTAGCGACGTCACTGTGGCCCGCTAGCCTTCTGTTGTCCCCCCGCCACCATTCCCCGGCGGATTCCTTATTATGAGAGAAACAAAGGCATCCCGATCCTGGAATTTGCCTGACCTAAACCTCAGCTCCAGATTCCGTCCTACTCCACCCTCACTTCGACTAACTCAATGATCCAGATCGTGTAAAATTGCCCGTGTCCACGTCAGAGCAACATTGCGTCGCCATTCACACTTGGAGATACTATGGTCTGGCTTCCAGTACCATGTCACGCTCCCGGGGCCTTGCCATCCTCCAGAAGACCTACGACGACAGCTATTTGAAATGCTCCACTGCTGTATACTATGAAAGCCAGGTAGTATTTTCCTTGTCCGAGCTTCAACGGCGTGGCGTGCCAATAATATGATTGTGCTGATCCAAGTGTTTTGATTTTCCAGGGTGACGAGACCGAGGCGATGCGATGCTGGAGGAATGCCCTCGAACAACTCAACGACCAACGCATCACCAAGCTGCTACCCAATTACGTCTCTGGAACCGAAACAGAAGACGCGTTGATAGACTCTTTGCGCAAGCTCGAAGTGCAGTGCAAGGAGCGCATTGACCTGCTTGAAGCGTTACGAATATCCCGACAGGACGCCTTGACTCCTCAGCCCTCCAATTCACCTGGCCCAAACCGCTCGACCTCCCCTGAACCATACACCATGTCGACTTCAGAACGAGGCTATATTGGCCAGGGTACTATTCCAGCTATAAGATATCCCGATCTCTCACGGCCTGCGTTGCCCAAAAGACCTTCATTACCGTACAGAACTTCATCCGAGCAGGCTGTAGTCGGTCGCGACCAAAGCCCCGTGGCTTCTCACTTCGTTGGCCCGTCGAACTCTCCCCGGATAGCCCCCAAGAAAGAGTTGACCATGAGGTCCCCGAGCCCTGAAAAATACACAATGCGGACGACGTTACGGACTGGGAAGACGGCAGAGAAAGCTGCAAAGTCAAGTCGCAAATTGTTGAAGACCGAAGGACCTGGCGCCAGCAAAGCCGCGACTCTTGCATGGACTGCTCTGGGCTCCAGAGAAAGACCGGCCAGAGCGTCTCCGGGAGTGCCAGAGATCTCATCGTCCGCACCTGCAACGCCTGCCGAGCAGTCCCGCAAGCCGCCCTTATCTGGCATGCAGTGGGATGTACATACCCGAAGGCTCGTAACGCCTAGAGAAGCTCTTCCGCCTTTCTCGGACGCAACTGGTAGCGCAAGAACCTCTGAAGAGTTTTCTCACATGCGCCCATCAGCTTTATCTGTCAGTGCGGCATCTAGTGCCCTGAATGCCGTCTCTTATCAAGATGCTCCAACGGTTGAACTTGGCACACCGAGACAAGAGCGGACATCTCATTCAAGAGACCAAACCTCCTCAATAATCTCGCGATTCAAGATGTCACCTTACGAACAGCCGCCGCCCCTTGACGCTGACGAGTTAGAGTTACGACACAAGACTACGCCAGATGCGACCAGAATACGAAGGAAGCCTGTCGGGGACACGCCCACTCGACCCAGTAACAATCTCACGAGCGGATCAGAACAGGACAAAGTCGATCGGTCTCGTCGTGAAGTCCAACGGTCGAGGAGACGTTCTTCTTCGAGTTGCTCGGACAAGCTGGAAAATAGTCCCAAAGTATCTGACAAGAAGAGAAAGGGCAAGAGGAAGGAAAACGCAATCACGGCTGACGCTGAAGCACCATCTTCTGAAGCATCTGCCGATGATGGAATCGAGGGTTCCTCTCTCAAAGCGGCCTGGAAGGCAACAAAAAAGAAGATCATGAATAATCTGCCGACCGGTGTAGACGAAGCAGCGGCAAAGCAAATCCTCAACGAGATTATTGTCCAAGGTGATGAGGTCCGTTGGAGTGATGTTGCAGGCCTGGAAATAGCCAAGAACGCTCTCAGGGAAAACGTGGTCTACCCGTTCCTACGACCCGACTTATTCATGGGACTGCGGGAGCCTGCAAGAGGAATGCTCCTTTTTGGACCGCCAGGCACGGGCAAGACCATGCTGGCGCGTGCCGTAGCAACAGAATCGCGATCAACATTCTTCTCAATTTCAGCAAGCAGCTTGACCAGCAAATACTTGGGCGAATCAGAGAAGCTTGTCCGAGCGTTATTCTCCCTGGCGAAGACTCTAGCTCCAAGTATCATCTTCGTTGACGAAATTGACTCTTTACTTTCTCAGAGGTCCGGGTCAGGGGAGCACGAGGCGACAAGGAGAATCAAGACGGAGTTTCTCATACAATGGAGCGACTTACAGCGAGCTGCCGCTGGTCGGGCCGTTGACGAAAGGGACAAGAACAGGGGAGATGCAAACAGAGTGCTCGTCTTAGCAGCAACCAATCTCCCTTGGGCCATTGACGAGGCCGCACGCCGCAGGTTTGTGAGGCGTCAATACATACCGCTGCCCGAGTCTGAGACTCGCTCCACTCAGTTCCGAACCCTCCTAGGACAGCAAAAGCACATTTTATCTGATGCGGACATTGAAAAGCTCGTTCTCCTTACAGATGGTGAGTGGTTCCTCATCGTTTCAGAGACAACCATACTGGCGGATCTGATACTGACAAGGGCACAGGGTTCTCGGGTTCCGATATTACGGCGTTAGCTAAAGATGCGGCCATGGGTCCGCTCCGTTCTCTCGGCGAAGCTCTCTTGCACATGACCATGGACGAAATTCGACCGATTTCGTTGGCAGACTTTGAGGCAAGTCAGACCACTATTCGGCCTAGTGTGAGTAAGGCGGGCTTGAAAGAATACGAGGATTGGGCCAGGGAGTTCGGCGAGCGAGGTGGGTGATGTAGGGCAACAGACATATGAGGTGTCGGGTGTTTTGTTTTCTGTTTTTTGTTTTTGTGTGACATAGCAACAGGTAGTTTAGCTAAGGGAGCGCACGTGAAAGTGATACCCTCCGGAGGCGCTCGATTATCGGCAAAACAACAAGGCAAATGAAGTTTTACAATATATTTGGCGCAAATGGCTCAAACATGAGACTATTGCAATGGTGTTGGTGTTTTTACAATGATTCGCTGGCGACTTCCAACGCTTCATCCCCGCGGCTCTAATGAGCCAGGATAATGGCTACGTCATTTGAATAAGACGATGCCCAGTATCCTGCGTTTAACGCCCCTACTCTTCGTTTTGTACAGCGTCGTATTGCAGTTGCCCCTCAATCTTCGTGGTTTTCTGTGTACGTTTTCCCGCCAAAACAAGGCTTTAGTCAACCTCAGGCTCAGGGGTCGACTTTGAAGACTTCTCCTGCCTCCGCGCCTCTCGTCTCGCCACCTTTGCTTCTCTCTTCCGGACCTGTGCTTCGATTCTTTCATCCTCGGACGGAATCGGTGGGCGCTCTGAAGTGGGTATACCATGGGGCGCGATGATGCTCTTGACGACGTGGCGCTTATGGGGTGAAGTCCTCCATCCAGGAACAATAGAAACGACATCCCCTGTGCGGAGGGACGAGTTGGGGTCGTGGACCAGGTAGTTCTTCGGTTTCGTAAACATCTAGGAAGACGGAGCTTGTTAGTCTCACAGGCAGGGGAGCCACGGATTGAGCCTGGCATTTGGGGCATTCGATATTTTACCTTTTGGACCTTCTGTTTCCATTGCTGGCCGCCCACGCGCACCTTGACTGTTTTCGGCATGAGCCCGGCGCTCACAACGACGCCATTGAGCTCGCGTACAACTTGGCGTGCTTGCGCCATCGTCTGGGCTGACATGATGGACGAAGGTTAGAATACGCTGGCAGTAACTTTGAATTGCAGAGTCAGTCCCACGCAGGTATCGAGTCGGGTATCGGTGACGGACCTTTGAGAGTGAGCTCGACAGAGACCTTGCCAGAAAATTGAAAACTGAACCTGGCTTCTTGCTGCTCATTGGCTCGCCGGGCCATCTTTTTACCGAAGCCTAGACCACCCGTCCGCCACCCTGCCAGTATCGAATCCGACAGTGTGGAAAGATCAGACGCTAAGATAACCTTAAATTTAACAAAGTACCTAGTCTGGCTTGGCCTGTAGCTTTCTGTAACTGCCCGTCGAGAGTTACTCATTTGTGTTTGGTGTCGCGAGGTCGAGCTCATTCGGCTACTGCGTATCTTTCCTCTATAGCAGCTTTTAATAATTCGTGACTCTTGGCCATCGGGGCAGAATCGCCGATGGACTTCATTGCCTTGACTCGGAAACATCCTCGGTATCCCTGAGCGATTAGCATTCATACAAGAGTGGTCCTCAGCTGAATACGGTGATTCGGGGTGACTTTGCATGTGTATAGTGGAATTCAAGTAGACCTGGGACAGAAAAAGAGGCTTTTTTGGGTAGGGGGTTCGAAGTCGAACGTGTCACGGTTCCTACAAACAGCAGCCCTCCCCCAAGCTGTATAAAGGCCGTGGTAGCTTGGGCACAGGACCAGGACTTTATGAAATCAAAGGATATATCGTCGCTGCGGATGATTTGTTTCATAGGAATGCCTCGTTTTATTGTTCAATAAAGTCTTCTCGAAAGACGATAAAGGCGTTTTTATTGATATAGTTGGGGCCACTATAGACTCCAGGTAGCTCTACCATCCGATCGCGGTAGGCCATGAGCCAAGTACCAAATCCTACGAGCGAGTCTAGGTTGGAACGACCTACCATATTCAGAAGTAGCAATTATCTCCTGGATGCCTGCCGAACTTGGGGAGAAAAGTCGACCGCAGCGAGTCCTGCTACCCGTGAAGAATTGAAAAAGGGCAAGGATTACCGCACGAAACTTACCGTACGACTGATATGATGTACGAGAAGTCTTCATATCACTTCCGAGGTCTTTTTAAAATTGTCTCCCTGCGGAATCACGGGGGCTGCAAGTATACTGAGTGTCTTGTCAAGATCTCTACTTATCCGATGACCGCATGTTGCAAGTTTATCAGCCTTTTCCTGCCTTGCACAAGCAGCTGCCAATGTGAAGTGGCGTGTGCTACCCGAGACAGCCGAGGGGTGCAAGTTCTTGACTGTGTCATGATTAATTTTTCCGACGTCCGTTCGAAACATCAGTCAAATAACACCCACACACGTGTAATATATGTACTTCCGCTACTCAGCCTATGGGCCGTACTGCATTTTCATCATTGAGCATGGGTGTTTGAAGGCACCGGACCGACCTGACTTATTATTCAGGTAGGACGAGTTTCCTTGTGTGTTGTAGAAGGATGGGAAACCTATGAGTTGGGATTCGAGCTTCTGTTGTTTTATATTGCAACCGGCTAAGTCACCGGCTAAGTCGAGTGAGTGAGACCCAGGCAGAAACCGGGGGAGTCATGAGCGTGGGAGAAACGCAGCAGAGAGAAGTCTCGGACCCTCGGTGGGCCTAGGTAAGGTAAGGTACCCTAGGCATGTCAGGCCCGCACTGTCCAAGCCCAGATTCATACCTGAGGTACCTGCAGTGCTTGCCTTCCATCGGTACATGAGGCCACGCCCACCGATAGGCTACGGGACAGGCTTACCTGAGTTTAGAAAGTATGTGCACTGTGTCCCATGTATCCGTAAGGTACCTAAAGTACCTTATCTGAGCTTTGCTTCCAACCCACCCACCCCGCTTCCAATCGGTAAGGTACCTAATTAGGTTCGAAGTGAGAGGGGACCTGGACAGAGTCATAGAGGACAGGGTGTTGGGTGTCCCTCATAAGGTCAGCCCAGTCTCGTCCTCTCTCGCAAACCGCCCTGCTAATGAAATCCGACTTGCATCCTCCCTCAAATTTGGTCCTTCGCTCCTCAAAAAATTTAATGTCAACATTCTTCCCTCTCGACTCACACACACCATTCTTCACTTAGTGCCTCTCCGCCACTGGCATCTATACTTCACATTTTTCGACTTGCGGTTGCTCATCGCATTTTTCATTTATCCATTCTACGTTCTGTAAAACAACGCGCCTGCTGTACGCACCTCCCTGTGCAACTACGCCAATAAGAGAGAAGGAAAGAAGGAGCTGGGGAAAATTTTGCACCACACTCTAACACACGATCATCGAACTCCTCCTTCAGAAAAAAAAAGATGTCCTCACCGGAGGCCCGTGCTGGCGTCAAGCGACCTCGTAAGTTCCCAACGTGCGTGTCCCTTGCGCGGCTCACGTTTCCCTTGCATCAAGTGCAGGACTCGAGCCAAAACTCCCTTCCTTTTGCAATTGTCTGCCGTTGCCGTTCCATGAACCTCTTTTTCCACGGCCAACCTCCTCGCCAGTTACCCTTCTTTTAGTTACGAGTATCATCTCGTTGTTATAAGCCGTAGCTACGCCACTGCCCTACCCCCTTCTACCCGCCTTTGACCCCAGCGCTACAATTCATACCCAGCGCGACGTTGGCAATCGCGATAGTATGACAGACACGGCAGAAAATCCGCTCAAGGGCAAGCTCACACAGCTATGGTCTATTGTCTTTGTTTGCTGACATTTTGTTTTTTTTTAAACAGGCACCCAATCACTTCCTCCTCCGGCCCTCCCACAGCTGGTTGCTGAGCAGCAAACCGCCATCCCTCCCACCGACAAGGACTCCCAGCGCCTCATCGTCGTCCTATCCAACGCCAGTCTCGAGACGTATAAGGCCTCGCATGGCGGCACTGGCCGCAATGGCGTCCAGCGCGAGGAGAAGTACTCACTGCTCAACAGCGACGAGCACATCGGAGTAATGCGCAAGATGAATCGCGACATTAGTGATGCGCGCCCGGATATTACACATCAGGTTGGATACCACCAGCGAACTGCTTTTGCCTGTGCCAGTGCTTCTGCTTTCTGATGCGCCTCAACGCGCCTAGCCCTTCGTGTCTGCATCCAACATGCTGACCATACTGACTAGTGTCTCCTTACCCTGCTCGACTCTCCCATTAACAAGGCCGGCAAGCTTCAGATCTATATTCACACCGCCAAGGGTGTCTTGATTGAGGTATCGCCGTCGGTCCGTATTCCGCGTACATTCAAGCGCTTTGCTGGTTTAATGGTTCAGCTACTACATCGTCTCTCCATCCGCTCAACCAACTCGCAGGAGAAGCTCCTCCGCGTCATCCAGAACCCCATCACTGATCACCTTCCGCCCAACTGCCGCAAGGTGACTCTCAGTTTCGAGGCCCCTCTGGTACACGTGAGGGACTACATCGACACACTCGCTCCCAAGGAAAGTGTTTGCGTCTTCGTCGGTGCCATGGCAAAGGGTGCCGATACCTTTGCCGATGGCCTAGTGGACGAGAAGATTTCCATCAGCAACTACAGTTTGTCCGCCAGTGTCGCTTGCAGCAAGTTTTGCCACGCCGCTGAGGATTCTTGGGACATTCAATAGTCGGAACTCGACATCGTGCCAGTCAGTGATGTTGAGTGTCGCGAATCCAAGTGGCAGAGACGACGAATCAGAGTGGCGATGTAAGTGGTGGCCCCTAGGCGCGCGCAGTTGCCATACGCGCCCAGAGCTTCAAATTGAAAGTCGAGGGGTTTAGCTCGTGGAACCGCGATACAACATCATGGTGTCCGCTCGCGACCTTGGGAACTTGGGTCACCCGTCCTAGCGCTCTCGCTGTTTTTGCAACCAAAACCGGGGTGTTCGACACCGGGTCCAAGACGCTTTCTTCGCCTAGGCGGTCCAACTTCAACCTAAGCCGTAATTTCTTTTTATTTACTCCTATCGAGTAGTTGTGTGGTTCGGCTCTACCTAGTTATTGGTGCTGGCAGAAATATTTGAGTATCTTGGTGCTCCCGGCAAGTGTGGTCGTGAATGGGGATTCATGCGACTGTTAGTTGGAACATGGTGCACCGAGATGGAAGGGTCAGTGATGCCTCTGCGGGGCTTGCACAAAAAAAAAAAAAACAGCCACGTCGTGAGGAATACTGGTGGATTACCTGGATACCAGTAGCTGCATGGGTAGACCGTACAAAGCCTCTTACTTGCAGGCAGCTGAGAAGGACAATATACCGTCTTGAAGGGTTTGCAGACCATATCACCTACCAAAATGCTCGTGACAAAAGTAGGATATGCCCGAGTATGTACTGAGGATGAGCAGAGAGCTTTCTGATGCCGTATCTGCCCGCCTAGCTTACTCAATGGGGTGCTGTTAGCATCATGAGGAAAAGTAGAGGGCGGGAGGGAGCGACAGTCTTTTGCCACGTTGATTGGTCACTGGGCATGCCTTAGGTAAGGTCGAACGACATAAGTAGGACGGCGTTTGGCGGCCGAGGTATCCGTGTTGTGCCATGATGCAACGGTTGTGGTGATTTGACATATCATTGATGCCTAAGTTAAATGTTGGGGGACAAGCCGACGAGGAGAGAAATGATAGAAAAGGCAGGAGCCCGGAATAGTAGGAATAGGGGACATAGATAGCAAGTAGTGTTCCATGTGTTAAGCCATCGCACTATGCTCGGGGACGATTCCGACGCGACAAAGTCCAGCGCGGCTGATGTCTACTCGTACCTTAGACTGCATGTGCGCACGGAAGTGACAGACGAAATTGGCACAAGGAGGCTGTAGGGTAGCTGGGGACCCTGGGAATAGGGCGGCGCGGACCGAGGTGCCCGACTGGCTGGAAGGGATTCCATACGCACCAAGCTCACAAACCAAGTCTGGACTGGAGATCATGTTGGAGGTTGGGCAGCAGACAAGGTGGACGTATTTTTGCATTAGTGCTCTTTTGGTATGGAGCCGAGACTTGAAACGGCCTATAAACCGACGTTGACCAGCTCACCAGTCAAGTTGATATGGAGGCATGGGAGCCGGAAAGCGCGAGGTTGGGGGCTGCGGTGCCCAAGCAAAGTGGAGAGACACAGGATCGCAAAAACCCTCTTGGGGTTTTGATAAACATAGAGAGTAGAGTCAGGTAAGTCGGTCAAGGCAAAAGAACCTGGCAACCTGCGGCGTAATGGAAATAGAATCGACGCGGTGAGTTACAAAGAGATACAAACGTGGGAGGTGCCTCGCCAGCCTACATAGACCAAGGCGATTGATTCACCTTGGGACCCTTACTCCCGGTATCCGTAGCTCTTACTTGACCTACCTTAGGTAAGGTACCTTACTTTTCCATTGCCTTAAAGTGCCTTACATTAGGTAAAGTACCTACCTACCTGAGCTACCTTGGAGACTGAGGTGTCCGTATCGTCGGCACCTGGGTACCTAGGGTGTTCGCAGGGAATGTTCATTGAACTCTGAAGACCGGGAAAGTGGATACACTTCGCGGGAGGGTGGATGCCGGAGGCACGTTCCCTTAGCCACGCAGCCAACCGTTTAGGGCCGCGCGCAACGAGCGGCTCTTTATCTCCATCACCTCAGTTGCTGCTTCCACTGGACCGCTGACATGCGGAAACCGATCCTGCACAGTCGTCCGTCCAATGACAGCCGCCCATCGACGCGACACTCGTTCAATTTCCAAGGAATGACTTGTGACGACCGTCTTTTGTTAATCTGCAGTGCGGCATTTCTCGGCCGGTCTAGCTCTGTCACCTGCCTGGAAGGCTTGGAATGATTTGCTCGAGTGACGGTACGGATACTTTGGAAGTTTCCAAGACACCTACCAGAAGTAAGAGTGACTTTTTTTTTTCAGCGCTTCCACCGCCTCGAGAATTTGTATAGGTAGGCCTAGGATTCTTCAGTCTTCACCCCCGCCTTCTTTTGCGGCCCCGAGATGTTGGCTAGCCTCATCCTGGCTTAACTCAGGGCACGACAAACGAGTCTGCAGCACACAAGACAGCTGGGTAAAGGCGGGGCCCGAGGAGGCGAATCGCAGCCGGACACGACACAGCACAGCACAACACGACACGACACGACACGACACGTTAGGGTGCCCCAGTGCGGACATATGGTAATTATCCGTACCATTCTCTCTATCCGTACGCGATCGGGATTGTGAGATGCGGAAGGCGTTGCAGACTGATCTTTCCCCTGACTCCCCAGGGCACCACTTCTCGATCCTCACTCCCCAGTCTGCCATGGACTGCGTACACGTAGCCAAGCCCCAGTATTCAGGCCGGGCTTGGCTCATTAGTGGATGCTCTTGATAGACTCACAGAGCATGGCTTGACTGTTGGACTGATCGATCATGGCCCAGCCTGGTCCAGCTCCAGCTCCAGCTCCCGACATAAGTGTCATTCGCTTTTGACCGGTCGTTGGGCTTGGCCACGGTCCGATGCCACCTCTGTTATCCAGTCACGCTCCAGAACGAGATATAGAGACCATCTCTTGATTACGGGGCAAGCTACGCGTCTTTAGTATACATGCTAAAGTGGCTGGATCAGCATTGGATGATAGCCTCATCAATCTTGGGTGCAGACCAAGACCAAGGTGGTCCTCTACTTCTTTCACGCTTGTCTCCGGCTGTGTGCCCCGGCGCAATGTGGGCGTGACATCGCTGTCACAGCTGCGCCGGACTCGGCCGGAATGGGCTGGAAGCATATCGGATTCAGCTAGAACTTAGAAGGCATTGAGCGACCCGCGAGACAGCACTGGAGCAGAGCAAGACGGGAGTACCTACTATGGTATGGAACCGACTTGTGAGTGGGACTCTGGAGTGATGGGTGTGCTGCTAATGATACCCTCCCTACCTGACTGTAAGGTAAGGAAGGTACCTAGGCACACTAGGCACGTTGAAGTTGAGGAAGGGGCGAGGAGACTGGGCAACCTGACGACAAAGTACCATAGTTGCGTAAGGCATCCGTAGCTGTTTGCAGATGGACGGGTTGTCGGAGATGTTGTAATGTAAGGTACATAAGACACATCGATGCGGGCTCGCTTGACACGGCTTGGTACTACGTGCCAGTTGTGTGTGCCCTTTTCTCCCTCGCCAGACTTGACAGCATCAAGCAGTTTTCACTCAGCAGTCGGGAGCTGTTGAGCTTAGGTTGATTTCCATCTCTTATTACCTGCCTGTGCCCTCCGCTGTCTATCTGCGTATATTGGGTCTCCTGCCCCCGGTGCTATGCCCGCCGCCCACTACTTCGTCGAAACTTTCATCACCTAGGTACATACTTTAGCTGGTATTATCTCACACTAGTTCCACCACCATTATCAATATCAATAGGTTGCCCTTGGTGGTTTCGCTCGGAATTTCCTCTGCAGCCACCTCGACGAACGACACGTCCTTTCCTCAAGGCTGCCGAATCGTCTGCCAGCGCCCCTTTCTCTCGCCTCCGCGGTAGCGCAACGGCACTTACACGCATCTATCCACGCCCTGTTGTCACCTCGCCCTTCTTCGCTTCACTCTCATCCAAATAATTGCCCTGCCTGGTTCTCTATCAGCTATTATTGCCAACCGCCCCAAATGACTCCCTACTTCGACGTCTCCCATCTCCCCTCGTCAGCCTCCTTCTTCTCGGCCGTCCTCCAACCCCTGGGCATCCACTACATATCTACGGGTGCGCAGACCGCTCCTCCGTACAACTCCAACGCCAACGAAGCCGTCGACAGCGATTCCAAGACGACCATCACCACCTCGAGCCCTGGCAGACTTCCCAACACCGTCACCTACGGTATCCTGTCCCCGCTCACCCCTGTTTTTCAGATCCGTGAGGCCCGCATTTCCATTGAACCCCTGAAGCGCTCTCGCGCCGTCTTTTCTGCTCCCTCGCCCAACGCCGTCACCGACTTCCACGCCTTTGCCGTGCGGGCCAATCCGAGCCTGTTGTCTAGCGTCCCGGCTGACCAGCTCTCTCGTCCCGCTTTAATCACTCAAAGTGGCGATCTCCACCGGGCCACTGTGACCGACCTGGACGGTAACATCATGGAGGTTGTATATCAACCCCCTCCTAACTACCCTCCCTCTCACGCTGGTTCGACTGTTCGAAAAACACATTCTACCACCGAGGAGGCTGGTCACATTCTGGACTGGAACTACGACGTTGCAGCCTCCGAGCCGCCGCCGCCTTCTGTTTCGGGTTCTGTAACTGCCGGATCCTTTTCTTCTGCCTTCGCCATGGCCGCTCGCTCTGGTTCATTTCCTGGTGACGAACCGTACACAATGCTCCGTCGAAGCGTCACCACCTCGGTCATCGAATCGCCGTCCAAGAGAGACGAGGCGCCTGCGCTACCCTCTCCATCGAGCGGAATCCCTACTAATACTATCGTCGGGAGTCTTTTGGGTGCAGCTGTTGGCGCCGCCGCCGGCGCTGCCGTCACATACGGAATGATGCGCAAGGAACGTGCACGAGCTCCGCGCCAGGAGTTTGACGGCTCCGGCACCGCCCCCCCGTTTCAACGCCGTGCCACTTTCCCCGATCAACATGCGGTTCCGCAGGCCGGACGCTATGTCGAGGTCGAGAGAACCGTCGAGAAAATTCGGTATCCAGAGGCTTACCCGGCCCTGTCCGACAACCGAGCACCTCCGCAGTACATGGCCAGGTACAGCCAGGTCGGCGCCCGAAGCCGTGCGGCCGATGACTTGTACGACGACACCCGGAGTCGACACTCGTCTCGCTACCAACTCGAAAGGGGAAGCAGTGTTCGTTCGCGCAGCCAGGCCGCTGTTCCCAGGACAGGTCCCCTGATGCTCACTGATTACGAACACCAGAGTAATGCAGGCTCGAGACACAGCATGGCCGGCAGGTCAGCCGTACCCCGTACCGTCGTCGACGATACCGGAACGTACGTCTCAGCCCGAAGTGGAAGGTCTCAGTCCACCGTCCGCCCGCCCCCTCCCACTGTCGAGACGATTCTGGGCGGGCGGAGTGTAGCACCCAGCCTTGCGCCCAGTGGCGCCCCGACCAAGACCCCGAGCCTCGTCCCGAGCCGCGCACCCAGTAAAGCGCCGACCATGGCGCCGAGCAGGCCTCCGACTGTTGTGCGTAGCAGAGCTCCAACAGTGGCCCCCAGCCGGGCCCCGAGTATGGCTCCCACTCAGGCGGTGCCGGCTACTGTTGTACCTAGTAAGGCACCGAGTAGAGCACCGAGTAGAGCACCGAGCAGAGCACCTACCAGAGCACCTACCAGAGCCCCAACGGTTGTCCGAAACTCGCAACAGGTCTTTGCCTATCCCCCTGCCACGCGAGCACCAACATATGTGTCGACACGCGGCATTCCCCCGCCAAAGAGCCATATTGACAGTGGTCGAAGTGTCTGGGAAGATGACGCTGTCAGTGTGGCACCAAGTGATAGCATCAGCTGCATCGGCAGCAAGACGAGCAGACACCAGTATCATTGAAGAGACTGAGAGTCTCTTCCATCAGCATGGTCAGGAATAGCCGTCGAGGCTGACAAGATCTCGACAGTCGAGTGACAGAGAACGATCAACACATTACTCGGCCGTACAGAACGAGTGCCGAGGCTATTGCAGGTTTTATATCCTTTTTAGAGGCTCGGCTTTACAAGTTCAAAACGGATACGGATGCATTGCGTGGCAGTTGTTTTATTCACGAAGAATGTTCGCAGTATGAGGCTGGAGCAATGAGGATGAGGTTATTATCAGACGGAGTCATATTGAATTGCTTTTCCTTGGACTGATCAGTGGTAAGATAGATGCTAGAAACGCTCTTTTGGAGACAGTTTTTTCTGTACTCTTTTCTACAAGCTGATGCAGAGGTCTCCCACTTTTCCGAATTCATACACATGTATTCTTTTGCGCTGAGCATATGGGACGGCCGGACTGGCATTGAGTAGGACTTACTGGGATACAAGAATCCGACTAGATCACAAGCCGGGCCAAAGCAATGGACTACGTTTTGACTTTGCATAGCCCACATTGCCACTATTCATCATCTACACTGGGATTTGAGCAATGCGGGTCTGTTCGCATTTATAACTGTGCGATGGCAACACATATTATCACTGATTACTTGAAGCGAAAGCGTTGTGTGGGATGGCAGCCCAATGAAGCAGCGTCGATGGGCATTCCTCTCGGTAGATACTGCAGTGTAGATGCACTTTGGGGAGCACAAGGGTGAACGGTAGTGTAAGTAGGGGCCACGGGTAAGGATCGCGGGGTAGTTGGGTAGACGACTCCCTGTGCCCCCACATATTTCACTCCGATGCTCGGCGCCCGGCATGCCATGGCACGGACCAAGAATTGCCAGTCACTCAATCTACGGATACGCTGCTCCGCCAAAAGGTACCTACCCGGGATGTGGTCTTTTTTAAAAACAAAAATGCCTTATGCTTATACTGGAAGTATGCACTATTTGCAGCCCTGACCATAGCGTTTATAAAATAATCTAAACATGTATAGTATACAAAATAACTTGTCTGAAATTGTTCTTTTTTTGAAAAAATAAAATTGTCATTTAATTGATTGCATAAGCTTCAAATAAGTCGATTCTCGATGAAAAAAACTCGAAAAAAAGTTATAATATATATTAGTTATATTACATATATGTAGTGTCCTAGGTCCTAAAGTCACCGGTAGGCGACTATGGCCCAGAAGGGCATCAAGCGCACATACTGCCCGCGCAATGTCCAAAAACCCCTCTCCCCCGTAACTAAGTGCCCTCTGCCAGATTTCCACCTACTTCCCTTCACGCACATCGAGTCAAGTGCCGGCAAACCGGGGGACACTGGAGGGGAAGCTGATAAAATTCGCAACTGAACTGATCAAATATCCTCGGCCAAGGCCACTGAATCTGGTCCCATTTTCTCCACAACAATAACCGTCCATACCACCTTTTATTTCAACACGCACAAAGCCACACACAGCTTTCTATAGAGACAGAGAGGGAAAGAGAGAAAAGAGTGTATGTGTGGAGAGCTCTGCTTGCATGACTGTCTTACCTAGCCCACTTCAGTCTACGGATACTTGACTCATCTCATTCACATTCAGACCGGTCACTATTTGGTGGGTACCTGATCCAAACGACGCATAAAAGCTCACACACAATCGCCTACGGTGAGTGCTGGAACAAGTCGAACCTTTTTCTTATTCTTTTTTTTATATGTTTTTTTTTCTCTATGTAATCAATCACGCTTCCAACCGCGATCTAACAACTCGAGCTGTTTCCCCAGACAGACAGAAGCATTAGACAAGCTTGCAACAATGCCGGCCTTGGAGCTAGGACAATCCATCCCGCCAGATACTGCCCATGTACGCCACAGCTATTCCCACGTGCATCACTCTTGTTCAGAGCCATGTGACATCGCAACTGACAACCGATGCAGGCAGTGAGCGTCCAGCTTCCTACGTGGAGGGCGAACGTCGGGTACGAGGAGGGAGAGTCATGGGTCGTCGATAAGATGACAACCGGATATCCCAGGTAAGCCAAGCCTCTCCTCATGAATCAATTCACCGGTGGCTCGGTCGACCCAACCCTAATTAGCTGTACCCGGCTGAGACTATTAACCTTGTCAAGGTTTTTCATTCATAGGAGCATCGTGGCCCTGGCTGAAGACCTGGTTACCCAGCATGGCTCCTCTGGTCAGAAGGCCATGCTGTTCCCCACCCTTCGTTCTGCGAGAAGGTGCCTAGCCTTTGTAAAGAAACACGCAGATGCCTCAATTGCTGCTGATACTAGTGTCATTGATTTCGAGCTGGACATGACCAAGGACATCTCGCCGCTCTTGCGCTCATTGTCACCAACTGTTTCTGCCGTAGTGTATACCCCCGAGGTTTTTCCCTTTGCCAAACAATACTGGCAGCATACGGGAGACGGAATTTCAAGCCGGAGGGCCGAGTTTTGCCACGGTCTATTGAGGGAGGGCCTCCTTGTTCCCGTGGAAAGGCCTCATTCTCCCGTGGGAAAAGCGCGCAGAGGCCCAAAGAGATACCAACGCACGTCTTCCATCGACGACACCAAAATGGCTCATCACCCCGCAGCCAGGTCGGATCCTCACAGTGCGTCTGAAACGATGGAAAGCCTGCGCTTCCTCGAGGAGCGCTTTGGCCGCAACCTCGACCTGTCCCTCGTCGAGCGTGCTAGGTCTGCCATCAAGCGTAGAATTGCCGGCGCCATAGCGGCCGACGTGGAGGCCAGCATCAGTTCACTGCCTCCCATGGGAGACAACGCCAGAAATCAGAAAGATCTCCAAGAGAGCGACGTATACCTTTTTCCCTGCGGCATGAACGCCATCTACAACGCCCACCGGGCCATGTTGTGCGCCAGGGGGGATCTGCAGTCTGTCAACTTCGGCTTCCCCTATGTCGATACGCTGAAGATTCTGCAGAAGTTTGGCCCTGGCTGTCTTTTCTACGGACGCGCTTCAGAGAAGGATCTCGACGACCTCGAAAAGCGTCTAAACGGTGGCGAGCGCTTCTTGGCGCTTTTCTGTGAATTTCCCGGCAACCCTCTCCTGACTTGCCCGAACCTGGCGCGCATCCGCACGCTTGCAGACAGGTACGGTTTCGGTGTCGTCGTCGACGAGACTATCGGCAGCTTCATCAATATCGACGTGCTACAATACGCCGACATCGTCGTGAGCAGTCTGACCAAAATTTTCTCGGGCGACTGCAACGTCATGGGTGGCAGCGCCATCCTGAATCCAAGCGGCAAGTACTATCAGGCCCTGAAGCGTGCGTGGGCCGAAGACCTGGAAGACACGTACTGGCCAGAGGACGTCGTTTTCATGGAACGTAATAGTCGCGACTTTGCATCGCGTATTGAACGCATCAACGAGAGTTCCGAGACCATTTGCGACATCCTCTCGGCTCACCCGCTGGTAAAGTGCGTTTACTACCCAAGAGTTAACCCGACAAGAGCCAACTACGACCTCTGCAAGTTGCCTGCTGGGGGCTATGGCGGGCTTCTCTCGGTCACGTTCCATAAGACGGCCCACGCCATTACATTCTTCGACGCCCTTGAGACGGCCAAGGGCCCGAGTCTGGGTACAAACTTCACTCTGACTTCGCCCTATGTGCTACTAGCGCACTACCAAGAGCTCGACTGGGCTGCCGGGTTGGGTGTTGATCCGGACCTCATTCGAGTCAGTGTCGGTCTAGAGGAGACAGACGAGTTGCAGAAGATTTTCACGAGTGCTCTTGAAGCAGTTGAAAAATCTCAAGATGCTTGAATCACAAGCAAACACGGGGTTTGAGGAGTGGTAACGCAGAATTGGACATGGAGGAGGCATGCGGAAGCAGAAGACGGAGTTTTTTTTTAAAAAAGGAACAGTAAATAAGCACTCGCCAGGGATGACTTCAAGACTCTCTCTCACCCTCAAGCCTAGTCGTAACAGGAAGCTGAAGTTGCAAATGCCAAGGCCATGGGTATCTCTGGGAAATCTATGGAAAAGAGAAGAAGAAGAAATTAAACATGACAGAATCTGACAAGGCTAGCCGCATTTACATGACGGAGCAATCGGAGTGCACGTACTCGGGACCATAGTCCTCAACGCCTCTTTCGATCTCGTTGGCCCGCTGCTTCTCCTTGGCCTCCTTGGGGAAGTACTTGCGCATATATCTTTCTAGCTGGATATCCAAATTATCTGCAGTCATCAATGTCAGATAGCTTACACTCTAGATGAACTGAATTGTTCTACTCACCTGCTGAGGCCTTCATGACGGTGTCTGCTCTGCACAAGGGGCAGTGCTTCTCGTTCTGACGCTGGATCTTGACGACGCATCGGATGCAGAAAACGTGTTGGCAAGCCAGCCGGACGGGCCGATAAGCGATGGCAAAGCAAATTGGGCATAGATAGTCACTGATCTGTGGTACGACTGACACTAGGTCGGTAGACATTTGGGCGCAGATATCCTTAGCAACAGAGCCGGCTAGTAACTTGTCGGAGTGGACCTCAACTGGGAAAGATTTGGAAACGCCTAGGCAGGTCCGTTTATCGAATTCTACCGATAATTAGCTTCGCTCAAAAAAATGAAGCTAGTTTGATAGCGGCGTCTGGAGAAGCGAGGCTCACTTTTCAGAATCTTGTAGATTGCCACCTGGTTGATCTCCTGGAACTGCAGGTTTTTAAGAAGAACGGCATTGAGGCTCAAGAAGCGAACTAGGGCCTCGCGACTCTCGGCAATCTTGAAGGACTTAGCGAGGTTTCTTTTCGTAAGTTCTTCTTGAAACCACTGAAGCTGCTTTGCGGCCGTTTGGCTGGTTCGTGATCCGTGATCTTGTTCGTTGGTTGAAAAGAAGACCTGAGCGTCCAGATACAGTTCAAAAATGGCGCGCCACCTCGCAAGGTCGCTCTTGGACAGTCGGCTGGGTTTCGTCAAATGCGAGATCTCCTGTCTCAGGGCAACAATTTCTGTGACCATGGCCTTTTCTTCCTTCGCCTGAAGTGCATCCAAGTTGTTGACATCGCTCTGCAGGATGTCGAAGAACTCACTATCGAAGACGAGGGGAACTTCGATTCGCTCATAGTGTTCCGTAGGCGGTAAGTGGGCTTGATCCTGGATGCAGCTTTGGTTGTCTGATGACTCGATCTCGGCATTGGCAAGAGACTCGGCAGATGAAACAGGCGACCTTATTGATATGGACTCTTGCGGAGCTGCCGCCGGGATGGATTGGACCGGATCGTGGGACTGCAAGGCGGCGATGCGTTCAATGAGGGAACGGGATGCGGGCGTCAGGGATGCATCAACGGCATTGCCGTCGCGCATGTGCACCAAGACGGTCAGCTTTGGCCTCAATAACTTTGAGTTGCCGGCAGCTATGAGCGAGTTAGCCGGTAATGATAGGGGCGTGGAGGGTGGCGGCGATCCGAAAGCCGTTGGACGGGGAAGGGCATAGAGTTTACCATCGAGGCGGTATTTGGCAGCCAGCGGCGAATCATTGGCCGGGTCGAGAAGCTGGCGTAGAGTCTCAGGATCAAGCCCCAGGTCGCTGAGTTCGCGGGCGACACGTTTGAGAACCTTCTTCAGCTGGCCGTATGGGATGGCTTGATCAATCCAATGAGGTGGAAAGTCTGAAATACAGCAGCGTCAGGCAATGCATCGTCTCATTCCACAATTTTCATATTCGGAAAGCGTCTGAGATGGGACGAACGGGTGAAGTGAGGAAATGGGGACGATGGGCCGGGCTAGCTACCTGAGGAACGCATGGACAGACATTCCTAGGAGCTTGACAGAAAGGATTTAAAGAGCAAGAAGACAAGACGGCCAACAAATCAGACTCACCTTGACGCCTAAGCGTTTCCTTGAAATCGTGCGCAAACTTCATGGCGTATCGAAATCGGTCGGATCAGCAGTGCAACGACACTCGATACTCGGACAGGTGTCTTGGCAAGGCGTATAGACATGGCTTTCTCTTCGAGACGTGGGTAGGGTAGCCTTGGGTTCACAGACGAATGGTCAGGAAAGAAGGGCTGGGGCTTGTAATTGGAGGGAGGGTATGTAAAGACCCGGTGGCGTAGTTGCACTATATAAAATTTCAATCGCAGACACTGCAAGAGTACGTAACCAAATTGGTTTCCTGTCACCGGCCGCGACGTGCTGGGCTAGGCTCCGTGACTGGGCATGGCATGGGTGCGCCATCCTATCCCCGACGGCGGCCCCGGGAGGTCTACAAACACCATCTGGAAACCCCCAAAGCGCCCTGGCACCTAGCACAGGGTGGCATTGGAGCTTGCTGGTTCTGCCACGAGGCGCCACGAGGCCGTAAAGCAGCTTCTCTGATGAATGCTGCGTGTTGTATTCAGTCCAATCGCCAATCTAGGGCTTAGCACGTTGCCTCGTCAGTAGGACCAAGCAAGAGTCATGGTTCGTCCTTGTGATCCTTACAAGAAGTACAAAGTACGAATAATACTGCCTGCACGGGTGGCTGCCTCGCTCGCCGAATATCTCGGTATGCATCAAAGCAGTACGGATATATAGAGGAACTTCTATCTAGGTGGATATTTGTCACTCCCGTCTCTTTCAAGACGCTATCCCTCTTACACCTCCACCGGGGTTTCATAAGTTAGCGTAATACTTACTAACAGACTTTACCAAAATTAGTAGCAGCCTTACAAGTCACAATACTTATATTAATATATAAAATATATAATGAAATAAAAATATTTTTATTAAAATATTAAAAATAATTAAAACTATAATAAAATTAATAAGAAAATCCGCGGGAAAATAGTGAAATATATATAAATAAGAGAATTAGTATTTAGGAAAAATATTGGCTTTTAGATTTAGAAGTACTGCCTCTGGATTGGCTGTAGAAATTAGGCGAAGAAGATAGAATAGGTACTTGTAGTGGAACTCCCGCATGGGTACTTCGACACCCCTTGCTTTTCTTACATTATCTGAACCGAAGTGAATGAATGTTTGCGGGGCGTTTCAGCAGCGCCAAATGGAGGGGCACTTGCGAAAAACCAAATTCGACCCCTCCTAGGCTTGCTTTAGACACCGCAGCAAAGGGCAATGCACTAGGTATATTGAATCCAGGGTTGACTTGACCCCACGAGATCCTTTGAGTCACCGGCCTGGACCAGTTGAAGCAGATTGTTTACGGACCTTACCCGCTACCCCGGAGCTGCGAACATCATCGCATTTCCTATCCTGTCCTCTTAAGCCTAATTGCACTCCTGCGCCTTGTTGTGCAGCAGATTCGAGCTATGCTACTGGCCATCAGCTTTTGACAATCACTCGCCGACTTTCATGCACTCTTTCGTGGCAGTTTTCGCATCACATTCTGGAGACCAACTCTAGCAAGCAGTAAAAGCCGTCTACTTCTTTTGCGCTCAACAATATTTTCGGCGTGCCATGGGTGCTCAGCAATCATCTGGCCGAGACCAGAGTGAGAACTCCTCCCAACCGGTCAAGACATGTTACTATGAACTCCTCGGAGTTGGGCGTGATGCTTCTGACGACGAGTACGTGTTCGCTCTTCACCTATCACTGCTCTTGAGCCTTCACTAATCGTTCTCGGGCCTGCAGAATCAAGAAATCTTACAGAAAACGCGCCCTTGAGCTTCACCCAGATCGAAATCTGAACGATGTTCAGAATGCGACCCGGCGCTTCGCCGAGGTCCAGGCGGCATATGAAGTTCTTGCCGACCCCCAAGAGAGAGCATGGTACGACTCTCACCGCGAGGCCATCCTGCGCGGAGCCGATCCCGACGACTCAGGCATCAATAATCCAGAGTACAACGATGTGAAGTTCACATCCACCGAGGACATATTCTCCCTCATCCGCCGCTTCGATTCCACCGTCCCCTTCACGGACGGTTCTTCAGGTTTCTTCGGCATTGCCAAGGCAACATTCGACCATCTTGTCGACGAAGAAATCGTCGCTGGCGAGTATGCGATGGAAGACACTCCAAATTATCCTACTTTTGGCTCCTCATTCGATAGCTATGATCATACGGCCAGGCCCTTCTACAGCTCCTGGGCGAGCTTCTCGACTCGCAAGTCCTTTGCGTGGAAGGATAAATACCGGCTCGCGGATGCCCCTGATCGTCGTATAAGGCGTGCCATGGAGAAGGAGAATAAGAAAATGCGTGACGAAGCCATACGTGAATTCAATGACGCAGTCAGATTTCTCGTCACCTTTGTACGAAAACGCGATCCTCGTTACCTTCCAAACACACAGACAGCTGCCGAGCGCCAGGAATCTTTGCGCTCCGCCGCTGCCGCTCAAGCCGCACGCTCGCGCGCCGCCAACAAAGAGAAGCTGGTCGAAGCATTCGTTTCCGACTGGGCCCAAGCACGAGACGACGGTGATGCGTCCGGCCGCTTTACAAGTAGCGAGGAGGAAGAGTCAGAAGTGGAGGAGATCGAATGCGTTGTATGCAACAAGACCTTCAAGAGCGAGAAATCATTTGAAGCACATGAGAGAAGCAAGAAACACGTCAAGGCAGTGCAAAACTTGAGGCGTCAAATGAAGAATGAGGATGTGAATTTGGATCTACGTGGCGCTTCTGCCGCTCCCGAAAAGGCCTCGCCGAGAGACGAGTCCGAAGAAGAAATTAGCCTTCATGGGCCAGTTGATACTGACGCTGTCAGGGGCCAGGATGACATACCGGCAGAATCGGCCCCTCAGAACGATGAGGTAGAGCTCACTGATACATCGTCAGACCTTGCCGAAGACGACGAATATGCTTCTCGCGCCGACGTTGAGCAGAGGCTATTCGCTGAAGAGACTACCCTCGCCGGTGCGAACCAAGGTGATGATATGGAAACTACTGCTGGCACAGTATCAGCAAACCTCGAAACTTTATCACTAGACGGGGGCATTAATCACGAAGATGGGCCGCAGCTTAAGAAGATGGGAAAAGCCAAGGCGAAGCGTGAAAAAAGAGCAGCACGTCAAGCAGCGGAGGATGCCGAAGCTAGCACGGTAGGTCTCTTTCTGGACGAAACAGAAGGCAATTACTGTTTAATTATTAACACCTGATCCATAGCACAATTGCAGTGTTTGCAATGCATCGTTTCCCTCCAAAACGCAGCTATTCAGTCATATCCGCGATCTCAATCACGCAGCACCAATTGAAAAAGCCTCAGGAGGCGCCAAGAAGAAGAGACGCTAAGTTGACATTTGTATGTAGAGCTGTGCTACCATAGGCGCCTTGGGTAATTATCTAATGGTCGAAAGGTGAAGTCATATCCCAAATCAAAACCAATGTTCGCACCCGACCATGTATTGCCCAATCTAATTATCAAAGTAAGGATCCTGTGCGCCAACCATATGACCGTTTCCAAGTATCCCAGCAGCTTTAGGCGAGGAAGCCCTGCGTCCGGTCATGTACTTGGGTGCATTTCTAACGCCCATCAATTTCGGCTTCAGATCCCAAATGGAGGATCAAAGCATACGACGGAAGGTCTCAAGCGTTCAAGATGGTGTCGCTGTCGTCATCACTAAGCGTTTCAACTTCGTCGATGGCGCTGTGTCTTTCTCCTCCACCACCACTGGAGACTGGATCGTAGTCCGCGACATGAATCACTGCTTTTCCTTGGACGTGCTTCACATTGCGCCTCCACTCAACCCAATCATCCTCGTCCTGGATCAGGAACCCAATGAGCATACTCGGATCCAGCTCCCTGATGTGAAGCCGGCGTAGGCGTCGAGTATGCACTGTATCAACATCTGCTTCACTATAGCGAGAAGGATCCGTGTGGAAGGGAAGGGCTGGTCGCGTGTGGTGTGGATCAAGGTAGAACAAGTTAGAACCCTGTGCGCCAATGAAGTAGTGAGAAGAGGAAGGTCTGCCACTGTAAAGATTATGAGCGAGTACACGGTTTGTTGGCCTTTGTGGAGATACCTACCCTGCGATGCCCACGGACTGTGGCATCTGTAGTGCGGCTATGAGAGCTTCCCAATAGACCGGGGTAATCTTGTCGATTCCGAGCCTTGTACCAACCAAGATAAGTGTCGGATAGAACCGAGAACCTTCGGGTTTAGCGATCTTCATGAAGTTCTCCTCGTAAACATCAGGTCCGTCTCCGGTGGAGTACACTCGGAGAGGCTGCTGTTCTTGAGCGTTGGCCAAGGCCCTGGTTTGGTACATTAGCCTATGTGTCTGATTCTGGCAACACTAAGGCTTACTGAATGCAGCGAGCAGTGGCTGATGGTCCAAACCATTCTCCAGGGTATTTCCCACACGCAACTGCGCCATGCTGGACGAATTGATGAATCGAATAAGGCGCTCTCGGGTTGTCCGCAAATAAAGAAAGCAGCTTTCTCTCCTCCTCGACTTTTTCGCCTCGCCGCCATCCTGTCCCCAAAGTCAGCGAAAGGCTCAACACACCCTCTGCAGCCAGGATGTCCGTTGAAAGAACCGGAACTACTGACCGCGTCCCAGGTTGATGACCGCCATCGCGTTCGCCAGTAAACTTTGACCTGACCGAATCATGCATCCCCAGCCACTGTCAGATGAAAAGCCGTTCTGATCTACCAGCTGACTTTTGATCCGCATTGAGAGAGATAAAGCGGAAGAGGCTCGCGGATCTGTAGATTTTGCTATGGCTTGGAATTCTGATCGGTATGTCATCCAAAACTTGGATTCAAAATCGTCGAGAAAGGCCGAGGGCCATCCACCATCCTGATCCAAGTAATCTCCATCGTAAGCAAGCGAGGACGAAAAGCTGCTGGACACAGAATCTGGCGGGGTTTCCGGGCTCTTGGTCGAGGTTGACGCTGTAGCTGACCCCAGGGCAGATTTTGGGTTGGTTTCGATAGGTTCGGTCGGAGGAGGGGTCTGGCTTCGATCATCTGTTTTTTTCTCTCTGGTAACCTTAGTATTCAGCGTGTAGGAGCGACCCAAGCACCAGACTGGAAGATCGCTCTGGTGATCGTTGGTGGGTTCGGGATCCCAAAACATCTGAACGATGCGACGGTATCGGCCTAGGTCCACCGCAGCCATCGAGGTTCCTTTTGACTGCAAAGCCTGGCTACAAAGTCCTGCGACGTTGGCGACTCGTCCTCAAGTCGCTTATTTGCAGATGCGCAGGCGGCAACGAGGCAAATCTAGCAGTCCTCTCTCGTGAAATCTATAGGTGACTTTGCAAGAAGTCAAAAGCAGATCGAATATCAAAGGTTGCCAATAACAGTGCAAGGTCGATGAGTAAGGTGATTGCACTAGAGATGAATGCTGAACGTGGCCGCAGGCGTCGTAGACGGTCAGGGTCGGGTTGGTAAATTGGTCTGTTGGGAGAGGGGATGGGAAACCACAAGAGGACGGAAGAGTAGTGAAGATGGCAATGTTGAGGCATGCGACGGGGACTGGACGCTGTAGGTGTAGAGGCAAACAAGCCAGCACTTTCAGACCATGCAATAGGAAGTAACCCTCCCCGGCAGCGGAAAGGCTGCCTGCAACCCAGATCCTCAGCTACCTCAGCCGATGACGGGCGGACTGTCCCTGTGACGCACCGGCCGAACATAGCGGGGCTCTTGATGTGGCACCCGCCCTCTCAGGCCAAACTAAGGTAGGTAAGGTACGGGCAGAATACCCAACATACATAGTAGGTAGGTATCATACCCCACGCTGGGTGTTGAAGGGCCGAGGTCCTCTTTTGATCGGCAACTACCTTAAGTGATCCTGGAGGTTGAGAATACCTTAGGAACAGAGCGTCCACTTTACCCACCGCAGCAGTGGACCTAGATCCCAAACCCGGAGGTGACCTAAGCCAGGTTCCCACAGTGCCTTCGCTACCTACCTAGGTACATTAGGTCACTCAGCCGTATTTTTTTATCGATAACCGTAGGATGAGTGATACCATATCCGTACCTACCTGTCCTACTTTATGCCGGGGCCTAGGCTAGGTAGGTAAGCGTGGTAGTATCCGTACCGTACCTTACTCCGCTCTGTGATTTACCTCATGGAATGGAATTTTTTTGACCGTTTTGTCATACCCTAGGAAAGCATGTAGACTACCAACCTAAGCAGAAGGTGACAGAGCTCCCACAATCGCATTTCTAGTCGACAAGACGACCCATTCCCTAGCCCAGAGACGGTGCATCCAGGCAGGATTTCAGAGAGTCCTCTCCATCACGTGGCCAGTGATGCCGCGCGGTGGGAAGAGAGGTGGCGCCCGCGCGCCGCCGCGCAAGATCCCTCGCCTTCGTCCTAGTGGTGGCATAGCAAACGGCTTCATTCCTGCCGTAAGCTCATCCGGTCAGTAATATATGTCGTTCTGAGAGGGAATCGTTTGAGGAAGTCCCTCCTAATTTTGACATACAAATTAACCATGATCGTTGTAGGGTTTACTTTGCAAGACGAAGCCCGCAGCACTGCTCATCGCTCGTCACCCTGGAGCAGTGATTCAAGACTACGCCATAGGCCCGTTACATTTATCAACACTGGAGCCGCAGAGCCTCTCAAACAATTAGAAAATATCTTGCAAAAAGATGAGGAGGGTTCTACAAATAGACCCCAGGAGGCACCCGATGGTCCACACATTTCCCACCTTCAAGCCGACGATGCACTTCTTGACGACCACGAGTCTGCTTCTGCGTCTGATGAAGCCAAAGTCCACGAAGCGGCACCGGCTGATGCTACCGTTGGCACCACGGATGCCTCTCTAGACACATCTGAGGCAGCGCAGGCTACGATCTCCCAGCTACAAGATAGTGCGAGGACGGAGGCTCTGTCCACTGAAAAAACAGCCTCGCCTCTGCCATTCTTCTTCGACGTGGTGGGAGAGAATCAACTACTCGACACCCCTCTAGATCAAACCCCAACTCGATCCCCGTCGCCCACGCCGTCCAATTCCAGCGAGGAAGTAATTCTCTTCAGAGGCCGTAACAAGGTCCCCAAAGATAGGCAGAAATTGAAACCCAAGACCAAGTCGAAGCTGAAGGCTTTCAACTTGGACGGCATTTCTACGGAAATCGACGTTCTCGAGAGGACTGTCAAATCAAAGAAAAACAGCCGAGGGGATGCACCTAGGAAGACCGGGGAAAATTCCTACAGGCAATCACATCCAATTAACGTCAAAGACCTCAAGAGACAGGAGGAAGACGACTTGATTGCAGATTATATTGCCAATCTCAGGGAGTATGGCGAAGATGAGGTGCTGGTGCCTGTGGATGCTTATTCTCGCCGGGACCTAGGCGGCTCTCTGAGTGAGTCTGGAGCCATCGAAGACTCGTTTCAGACTGTCGTCGCTACGAGCATGGCCAAGGCGGTATCAGAAGTCGACAACGATCTGGGTAATACGGCAGCAGAGTTTGACGTAGTACCTCGAGCAAGCGACCCGAAACCTCTATGGGACGCACAAATGCAATCCAAACGAGGCCAAATTACACAAGTTGATGATACATTGACGGGGATTTTCGAGACGGATGCCTCCTACCTGGCATCACTCGAGCAGTCTAATGTCGAGGACGCATCACCGAATTCGGATTCGAGCGACCAGGACGACGTGGAAGATAATATCTTCACATCAGCGGCAGACAGATTCGCAAATGAGATCGACGACTTCGATTACATGGACTGGAACCGCCCAGCGCTTAAGAGCAAGAAGGGCAAGGGTGCTAGAGGCAAGGTTCCTGTATTCGACGTTTCAGACTCTGAGCTGGAGGGCAAGATCCAGGCTGCGTGGAAGAATGACCGCTTGAAAAAAGCTGAGAGAAAAAAAGAACGCCAGGCTTTGCGATCTCTGGGACTCTTGGGTAAGCATGCCAATCCGGAAGACCTTAGAGTCAAATACCCGCACGGGATGGGACTGGAACAAATCGCCGACGAGCTGAGGACATTCCTTTTGGGCACACACCCGAGGTAAGTTCCCCAATATGCGTTCAATGCAATCGAGGAGTTGGACGCTAACTAGCTGCCGCAGTCTCACGCTACCGCCCATGGACAATCATGCTCGAAAAGTGATTCATGAGTTGGCCAGCAAATTCAATATCAAATCCAAGTCGACAGGATCCGGTGATCAAAGGCGGCCCATACTTCATCGCACTTTCAGAACCGCCAAGTTTGCTGACGAGGTTTTTGATATCGCTATCGCTCGGGTCGGTCGCAAGTACTTCCCCCGTAACGACACGACACTGCGGGCCGCCGCACAGAGGCAATCGGCTCGTCGAGGGGGCGCTGGCGGGCACGCTGGCGTTGTTTATCGGGATGGTGAGGTTGTCGGTGGTTCGGCGCCGGAACTGAGCCAGGAAAACAAGGGTCGCACGATGCTCGAAAAGATGGGTTGGAGCAGCGGTACCGCACTGGGCGCGATGAACAACAAGGGCATCTTGCAGCCTGTCGTCCACGTCGTGAAGCGAAGCAAGGCTGGGCTTGGATAACAGTAGCAGCTGGTCGTTTTTCGATGTTGCGCGGCAGGTTTGTCCCGTTTCTTGTCGAAGTGGCACGCTTGGAACCTGCGCTAGTTTAGTGGGGACGATACACCCCTGTGCATTTGATAGAGAAACAGAGAGCCAATGTTGATGTTCATGTGTACGATTTCATTCGTCCGAAAACCCTATTCTCAAGGTGTATTGTACAGCCCGCGAACCCCGTTTGACCGTGAAGACATTGCCCCCAAAAAAAAGCAAACCATCCGTAACGCATTAAGAGACTCCAAGGGTATTGGGAACCTTAGCAGGTCTCATCATGACACCCAACTGCAAAGTAAAATCCAATGCCCGAAAAGAAAAGCAACATAAGTACCCTTTATTTCGTGGATGAGGAGTATTTGGTCACAGCCTTGGTGCCTTCCGAGACGGCGTGCTTGGCCAGCTCACCGGGCAGGATAAGACGGACACTATAAATATGTTAGATAGTTGGACTGCCATATGTGCAAAGGGTGACGTACGAGGTCTGGATCTCGCGGGAGGAGATGGTGGACTTCTTATTGTAGGCGGCAAGCTTGGAAGCCTCAGAAGCGACGCGCTCGAAGATGTCTTGAGGACGGGTTAGATATGAGACTACTGAGATTGTGAACCGGTGGTGCTTACCATTGACGAAAGAGTTGAGGATAGACATGGCGCGGTTGGAGATACCAGTGTCTGGGTGGACCTGCTTCAGGACTGTGTGGCTAAGTTAGCACATGTTTGCGCGTTGGATGCTATAGGAAAACACGAGTGCCGTGGAGATATGTTGTAACGCGACGCGCCGACCCGGGTAGCGAATTATTGATGCTACTCACCCTTGTAGATGTAGGAGGAGTAGGTCTCCTTGCGAGACTTGGTGCGCTTCTTCTTGTCGCCAGAAGCTGCGGTCTTCTTGCCGGCATCCTTCTTCTCGGGGGCCTTAGAGGCCGTGGCAGGGGCCTTGGAGGCGGGCTTCTTGTCGGCGGCCTTGGGGGGCATTTTGGCGGTTTGAATTAGTGAAGATGAAAATTGGGAGTATGTGGGTAAGTTGGTTGGATTGGATTGTGACTGGCGGCCGTGGGTGAGCTGGATGATAAGGTGAGGGAAAGTTGATGTGGCAGGAAGAAGTTTAGGGGGGTGGGCTGGGCTTTTGTAGCTGGACGTGACGGGCTCTGACGGCCTTACTGATTTCATGCGAGGACAGAGTGATTTTGGGGAGGGGTGGGTGGTCAGTAGGCATCAGTGGCACACTGAGCTGGTCCCGGGGGCTTGCACTGGTGTGGCCTTGCCTGGGCAAAAGGGACAGACAGCTGCCCTGGTTGGCTGGGGGCTGGATAGGTGGGGCCAGACATATAGAGATTAGAGACCCAAACCACGAGAGCGGCTGCCGGACTGGGGTGCTCACGCGTTCGCGCTAAAAAACAAATACGTGACGCCCAAAGTATTTTTTTTTAATTCGCGTATCACCAAGCGGGCAGGGGAGACTGAGAGGTGGGCAGCAGCCAATGGCAGCGCTTCTTCACAAACCAACCAGCAATTTCCCATCATCAAAGGCCGCCTGCCCATCCATTGCTCAAGGTGAGCAGAGCTGCCTTACCGAACAAAATGTAGTTAATAAACCCCAATCAGGAAATTTACGGGCATAAGAAAGAAATCATCCCAAGTCTTGACTCTGAAATTGCTACATTTCAGAACTGTCTGTCTATCACTCGCCGGTGTTTCTAAGACTTGGTTATGTTCACGGAGCAGTGGGACATTGGAACAACCGATGGTCGCGTCGAATCTTTCAGCTCTTCGACGCACATAGGAACAGAGTTTGTCCGAGGTCGCAGTCTCATGATGATGTTCAGATTCCCGTGCGAGTGAGCCGCCGTATTTAGCCCTGTCCAGTATGCGCCTACGGTTACACTGTCTGGCCCGGATGGAGTCACCAACCATTCAATCTACCTCACACCCTGCCCTCTGGAGCTTCTCCCTGCCTTTGTTCGGTGAAACGAGGAACGCTGAGGGCAGTCAGTCTCTTAGCTAGCAGGAAATTCCTCCCCTCTTCGATTTAGTTGCGGGCCAGCGACCACAATGCCGCGAGCTGCATCGAACGCGTCGATCTCCATTTGGCCTAGGCCCGCATGGCTTTGCTTATGGCTTTGCTTATGGCTTTGCTTATGCGGCTCAGTCTCTGCACATTGTCATCCATACCCGCCTCGCCCTCAGGTAGCACGCGCGACCCCTACCAGGTCGAGCAGATGGAGGTCAGAGGGAAGTTGTGAACTTGAGGAATCGAACGTGGAGAAACTGAGATGCAGTTCCTAGCAGGAGACACCTCGTCCGTTCTTGACCTATTGGGGAAGCGGCCAAAGGTATTACGGTGGGCTCTGCGAACCAACACCCCTCCACTGTCAGTGTCAGTACAAGGCCAGGCCCGTTTGGAAGCACCACGAGTGGCCTACAGGGGTCGCTGTATAATGTACTCAATGAGGCTCTACCCGACAGGGTCAGACAGGACGCGGGGCTGTCGATTGAAGATTTCTCCGGACCCGATGTGGGATGGAGCCGAACGATGGGCCATGATAGGGCCATGATAGGGCCAGATGCCTGGGCCTCGACACTCGTTAGGCTTCTTCACATGTACCACACGTATGGGACTCTATTCGTGCTGGACAGCGGGTTCCGGTAGATCTGAGATCCATCTGGATGCAAGTCATATGGGGTTTCAATGTCACTGGATGAATGAAGCATGGGATTCGCATTAAATTGGTTCGGGTGCGAAATAGTATTCTTTCTCATTCCATGAGATAACGTAACGCTTCTAGATCTGGGCGATGGTGGTAAACACACCTAATTACAACCTGGTATCAGTTCAACGCTGATGACGAACCGCCATCTTCCATAAGGTTTTTTCTATCCTCTCGATGCTCTGAAGCCGCAAGGCTACGTCAGAATGTGTGCCATGCTGGTACGCATCCGATACATACCATAAGAAACCAATCACAGTCACAGTCACTAGAAGGAGGTATTTGCGCCGTCCTAACCCAAAAGTCAGGAGATCTCCAGTTCATTGTGTCGTCGCGATTCGTCGTGGCCATGGTTTCTCCAACAGAGAGAAAGGGGAACAGGATGCGGGGAAAGAGAAAGAAGGTGGAATAGTGATTAAGTGCTGTGAGTAGTCTGCTACTCGGTTAGATGGCTGCTTTCCTGACCAGTCAGATAATTCGAAAATCGAAACACTACGCGTCGAGGAAGGTGGGATAACGATCATAGGAGCAAAGGGGGGAAAGAGAGAGTGTACGTAGTGAAGAGAAGAAGAAATACGGGCCATGAGATGGAAAAGGGGACCTTTCTGTACCTTAGTGTTCTCCAGCACTGCTACCGGTGAAAGCAGCGGGACCCGACTACTTTTATTTCATTTTCCCTACGTAGCATTGATTGCACTGGATTCTGGACGCAGTTGCATCTGGCTGGCTCCCTCCGAGCTTGCGGCAGGAGTGATAAGGTACGTACCCGGCTTCTAGCCTGGGCCCATAAAAATGATGCACCACCCGAAGTCTACGGATATCACAACATCGAATTTCTGCTTTCGGCTTAGCGCTGGTTTGCGCGTTGGTGATCCGTGATTGAGCTCCTCCAACGCGAAAACTACTTAACTTCTTGACTCCCCACTGCCAACGCCCTTCCTTCCTTCATCATCTCACTTTTCCATCGACAACTCCCAGCCAGCATCCAGCCAAGTCGCTTTTTACGCGTCAAAATCAATACTTCCTCTCCAACACAACCCCAAAACCCAAATTCACACAAAATGACTGGAGGCGGCAAGTCCGGCGGCAAGGCCAGCGGTTCCAAGAACGCGCAATCGTAAGCTCTTCTCCCGCCCTTTAAAGATGGCGCCTGCATTGGCTCTGCCTGCGGGCGACCTTTTTTTGGTGCGTTGCTTGGTCAAGTTTTGGTCACTAATTGGTTTGCAGTCGATCCTCCAAGGCCGGTCTCGCATTCCCTGTTGGTCGTGTTCACCGTCTGCTCCGCAAGGGCAACTACGCCCAGCGCGTTGGTGCTGGTGCTCCCGTCTACCTGGCTGCAGTCCTCGAGTACCTCGCCGCCGAGATTCTTGAGCTTGCTGGCAACGCCGCTCGTGACAACAAGAAGACCCGCATCATTCCCCGTCATCTTCAACTTGCCATCCGCAACGATGAGGAGTTGAACAAGCTCCTTGGCCACGTCACCATTGCACAGGGTGGTGTTCTGCCCAACATTCACCAGAGTATGTTCACATTCTCATGTCAGAAGTATTCAAATGCTAACGATTTCTTAAGACCTGCTGCCCAAGAAGACCGGCAAGACTGGTAAGAACCAGAGCCAAGAGCTGTAAGCGGGTGTTGGGATTGGTCTTTTTTTTCGTGCTGGTCGGCTGCTTTGGGTTGTCATGACATCGGGGTCACGGTTCAGGGTTCATGGTTGATTTTCACGTTTGGGTTGTACAATAATACCACGGCAGGAAGCTATGGTTACGAATGAGAATACCTTTTGAAGATCGTATTTAACGTATTGGAATCGTTTTGTTCATCTAAGCTGTTACGTGGTTTGGCTACGCGAGTCGCTCAAGGTGTGCGCGGTTGATTTATTCCTCACCAGCATGCGATACTGGGACACTCCTATTCTGCATGAAGCGGGTGGGGCAAAACCCAGGCAGTTTGCTGTGCATATGAGCTATGGACTTGAAATTTGAGCTACTACATCGGCTTTTGCCTGTTGATAGAAGGCTCTAACACGAGTGACGGGATTTGTCACGTCATCGTGGATGCGAAAGTTCCGTTGACTTTGTGTCACCTTGGTATCGAACGACGGCAGCATACTAAATAGGGTCGAATTATTGGCAATGACTATCTTTATGGACAACAGGCTGTACAGACGTGTTGCCAGGCGCCAACCCTTTAGCATGGCTTACAGTCGCCAACCCACGCATATTTCGCACGACTTTGCACCAATGGTCAAGTCTGCAGGCCCCAGAACAGTATTGGTCAAGACCGCGAAATAAATCTCAAACAGAGCTGGCATTCTATGTTTAGCAGTCAACTGATGAGCGTGTTAAAGTCCCACTCTTCCTCACTCTCCCGCCATCGCGCGTCGCTCAGAATTTCAATGGAGGTGGCGCTGTTTCTCTGTTAGCAGAGGTTGGTGTGAAATCAGACGCGTCGACTCACGGTCAAGAATCGGTGCCCGAAGGTTGCGCTCGAACTTGGAACCTGTATAATCTTTGTCAGCGTCGTTCGGGATATTCGTATAACGACGTTTGCCTTGAGCAAAGGATGTTACAAACCGCCGGGTGCCGTCGGGTGCACGTAAGGCTCTGGGTGCTTCCACTTTGACAGCAACTTCTCTGTCTGGGACAAAAGTTCCTGTAAATCTCCAGGTCAATATGTGACGCTCGAAGCCTAGTCGGGAAGGCTGGTGGACAGGTCGCTCACTCTCTTCTGTCGTGAATCCGTTACAGATCGATTAGCTTCGAACAACGAGCGTATGTACAGTGCCTGGCCTCTCCAAAGGTGACGGTGAACAGCCCAGTCGAGAGCTAGCTTCAGCGACCGTCGGTAAAGCGACCTGTGATGTCAACAATCAGCTTGTAGGCTCGGTCGTTGATATTGGGGTAAGGCTCACAATGCCGCTTGACGGGTCGACATGATGAGACAGGGCAAAGTCGATTCAATTGCGTCAGAACCACAATAAAAATCTTGATTGGGGTAGGAGGAGCTTATTGGCGAGAAGTTAGTAACATAGGACAAGTTGGGACTGCCAGTAGCGAGTCGGCGATTACCAGGTTCTCAGTGTTGTAGGAGGCGAGCTCGGCTACAGATTGATAAGTCGTTGACAGGCCGGGGCAGGAATGATGCCGGCGATGGCCTGAGGCATCATGCTGTGAAGCAGAGCCGCATATTAAGGACGACACGGACTAGAGGAACTTGAGTAATAACGACGTACACAAACCCGTAGGCAATATGGCATTTCTATATTATAACAGCCCAGGAGCATAGAAACGTAACTCTTATATAAGAAAGTGTTTTTCTTTTAATGAAATTATGTGGCAGGCCAGGAGCATAGAAACGTAGTTCTTATAGTCTAATGTGCTTATCCTTTTGAGAGGATATTTTATAAACTTATTAAGTAAATATACCGACTAAAAGCGCTTAGGAAATAAATTAATAAACATATTTAAATAAATGTTGTTTTAATTATATATAGTTATATACTAAACTTTTTACGATATACCTTTTTTAATTATAAGATTATTTATAATTAAATTATATATATATATATATTTTTTTTATATTCCTTTTAAATAAATATAAAAGAAATTAATAAAAAAAAGAAGTAATAAAAAAAACTTATTAAAAATAATAATTCTATATTATAATATATATAATAGCGTTATAATATATTTATATAAACGTATTAACGTATATATATAGCGAGTCGCTTATTATAACGAGTCGCTTATTTTTAAATACCCTCTTACTATTTATATAAGTTAATTAAGCTATATCGTACGAAATTAATTAAAATTACTTATTAGCCTTTTTTTTAGAGGTCTTTTAAATTATTTAATATATTCGTATATTATATTTAGTTTTTTTATAATTATTATATTACCGTTTACGTAATTTAACCCCTTTTATACGAATATCCTTTTAATATATATTTTCGCTTTTAATATTAATAACCCCCTTTTTTATTTAAATTACCTTAGCCTTAGTAGTATTAAATAAGCCTTTAAGACGTAATTATATTTTTTTAGCCCTCCGGCGTTTATTTAATATCTTATTTACTATATAAAACCCGTAGTATTTAGTTTTAATAAAAGCTAATTTATATATTAACTTATTAATACCTTTAGTTTATAAATTAATAACTTTATATAAATATATTAATAAGCTATATTAATAGTTATAAATCCGTTTTTTAAATAAAATAGAACTTTATACGGCGTTATATACTATAATTAATATCTTTAAATCCTAAAAGCCTTAGCTATTTAAGCATAAGTTAAATAATATTAGCATTTTTAGCTTAAAATTTAGGCGGGAAATAACTATTTTTAAATTAAAAAATATAATTTCAGCTTATTTAAAATTAGCTCATACGTTTTTTTTATTTATTAAAATAAAAAAGACTATTTTAAAAATAAAAAAGAAGTCGTTTTTAATAATATACGTAATTTATATCTATATTATCTTCTCGATTTTTTTATCGTACGAAGCTTTTAATAAGCTAAAATAATTAATATTAAAAAGTTAAAGCTTATATAATAAATATAAAAGTATATAAAGAGCGATAATATTACGCTTTTTATAATAATTATTGAATTTAATCGATTTATAACTATTATAATTATTGAGGATTAAAAGCCGTTTAATTCCCTTCGTATAAAACTTTATATATTTTTTAAAATATTTTAGTTAATCTAAATCGATTTTATTTATAATTTATTTATTTTTGTTAAAATAGATACGCTATTTAAAAAGGAATTAGTTATTAATATATTATAAAAAAAAGTAATATTTATTTTTCATAATAACGTATAAAAGTAGCGCTTAGCTATTTATATATATACTTTAAATAATAAAAACCTATTCTTAATTATTAAGCTGCTTCATATAAAGCTTTTTATAATAATTAAAAATTATAATAACCTTTATATATATAAAAATATTCTTATTAAAAAGCTCGTTTTATTAAAATTATAAATATTATAATCGTATATTTTATACTTTATAATCGTATTTTATACGAAAATAAACTAAGCTTAGATAATTATAAGATCTTTAATTAATACCTTTTAATAATCGATTTTATATTAAAAACGCATTTTTAATTATAATTAACGTTATATAAAGTTCTTTATTTATTATAATTCGATATACGTTGCGTCGCGTTTAATAAAAAAATAATCGGTTATATTTTATATATTATTAAATCGCAATAGAAATCCTTAATTAATTAAATTAATAACTCGTTCGAAAATCACGGTTTTTTCTAAAAAAGTTATTTTTTTTTAAATTTATATAAGTTTTATATCGAGGTAATAAACTAACGCGTCGGTTACGAAATATTATTTTTAAAATATTATAAATAAAAACTACTTTTCGTATAAATAAATTTAATTTTTTTTTAATAACTTAAAATATAAAGATAATACGATTTTTATTTAAAAAAAAATCTATAATCGTACGTAAAGAAAAATAGTTATTAAAATAAAAAGTATAAAAGGAAAAGAAAGTAGGCGACTCGTTATGATAGGCGACTCGCTATGCATGTACGTTATATTTAAGTTAAATATAAAGAAAAAAGGTAGCTAATTAATAATGCTAAAAGCGCGTACTAAAAAAATTAAAATAATAACAAAACCCGTTTAAAAAACTATTTTAAAAGCGTTATAACGATTACTATTTTTAATAATAATAAAAAACCTTAAAAAACGGTTTTATAAGTTTTTTAATATTTTTAATATTTTTTAAAAAACGCTACGCCTTATTAAATAATACGGTCTATAATAGTTATAAAAGATACTATTTAATTAATAATAAAGCCCTATTAAAAAAAGGTTTTTATAAACTTTATTTAAAAAGCGAATTTATAAAAGTGGGTATTACCCGTATTTATATTATAAAGATAAGTATTAGGGTCTTTAAGAAAGCTTTTTATAATAAAAAAGGCTTTAATATTAAGGACCTTGTTTTAAAAAACGTCGCTATCGTAAAAAGTTTTTATATTAATATCGTTTTTAAAGCGCGCTTATTAAAGATAAGAATTTAGTATTACGGCCTTAATACGATTTTATACTTTAAAAATATAAATAAAAATATAATAATAGCCTAACTATTTAAAAAAAATAATCTTACTTTTCTTTAATATAAACCTATTACTTATTACCTTATAGCCCGCCTTCTAATATTAATAAACTTTTTATATTTTATAATAATAGTCTAATTTAATATTTTACTATACCGTAAACCCGATTTTAATATTATTTATATAAATAAAATAAATAACATAATAATCTAATATTTTTAAGTTAGCTATTTAAAACTAAAAGCTTTTTAAAATTTAGTTCGTAATACTTAGGGGGTAAATATAAAAAGGCTATTAAAAATAAAATACAAATATTACGCTTTTATATATATATAAAAAATAATTTTTAAATCCTTTTTAAAAAATCGAGTTTTAAAACCGTATTACTATATATTTTAAAACCTTTTTAACTTTTTAAAATTTTTTAAAAGCTATTTTTAACTATTTATAATTAAAAATAAATACTTTATAAAGCTTTTAAATTCCTTTTAAAAAATAAATAAATAGAATTAATTTTTAAAATCATAAAAATCTTTAAATTTTAAATACATTGTTAAAAGGGTTTAATAATTTATAAAATCCGTATAAATAATAAAAAAGTAATAATTGTTATATATAAAAAAACCCCGTTTTAAATATAAATAAAAAATAAAAAGATTAATCTTAAGCTCCTTCCTATATATATAAAAAAACTAATAAAAAAAAGTAAGCGCATGAGAAAAAAGGCGATTACTAAGGGTATTAAAATAAAGTTAATAACTAAACTTCTAAAAAGCTTATAAAATAAATATACGTTAATAAAAATATTCTTTTATAATATTTTATTACGCTAAAATATAATTTAAAAATCGCTTAACTAAATAAAAAATAATAATTTAAATAATATTTTAAATAATAAGCGCTTAAGTTTATTTATAAGATAACTTAAGACCTATACTTATATTAAAAAGGCTTTTATATTTACGGTTATAAAACTTACCCGCTTTTAAAAAACTATAAAAAAGGAATAAAAAAAAAACATTATAAAATATTTCCGTAGGGGTATATTAAATACCTTATTAAGTACGTAATATATATTTATAATTTATATAAAATCTGAATTCTTGTGCTTAAATAAATAATAATTATATATAATATATATTTTAATAAAATTACTTTTTATTTAAAAAAGGATATTACGAAAACACTACCTATAACTACGGCTAGCTTAATTATTAAAAACATTTAAAAGCTTATAAATATTATAAATACTATTCTTAAGCTTTTAAACGCTTTAAATATAAATAAAAGCGAGCTTATTTAAAAGATTATTAAACTTAAAATACTTATTTAATTAATCTAGATTATAGTCCCTATGTTAAAAGACGTCGAAGCGCTTAAGATAACTTTTAAAAAAAGAAAAGGACTAATAACCCCCGAATAGACCCTTAACGCTGAAAATATACCGGTAATTACGGATAAAAAACCGATTATTACGGAATTTAAAAGCTTAAGAACTATATTATAAAGCGTATAAATAGTTAATAATTTAAAAATAATATTTAATAATAATGATAGAGTTAAACACCCGGACTTAATATAATAAAAAAAGCCGAGCGGATCGGAGATATAATTATTAATATTATTTTAATAGATTATATTAAAAAAGAGGTAAAGAGGGATAATAAAAATATATAGGCTATTTATATATAAAAACGTACGGACCTAAAAAACGATAATAAACTTTATAACTACGTATAACTTCGCTAAGTAATTAGAAAACGTAGAAAATAAACTTCTAAACGGCCTAAATTAAGATCTTTTATAAACCTACTTTTTTAATTAAAAAGTACGA